AAATTATTACTCTATCAGTCACCTAGAAAATAATGGGATAGGACTTTGTTTAGATAAAGTAATGATTAGTAGTAGGACAGCTAGGAGGGCCAGTGTCAATACCCATTTAAATGTGAACTTGAGGTAATAATGTTTCAATGTAGATCTACTCAGCAATACTTTCCCCTCCGTTCATGCAGATATTATGTTATACCCTGTGTGTAGTAATCCTGTATCTTGTTATCTCCCTCACAGAAGGGTGGGCTTGGGCCTAATGTTGGGTAGGCCAGGACGTGGGTTCTGCACCTTCTTTTCAGTATCTCCCGACAGAAATACGTTTAACAGGTGTTCAATATTCCACTTCGAAGCTCTATACTATACCTCTCTTATTGGAGATTCAGTTTCTTAAGTTTATCATGACCAAAGTATTTTTCATATAAGAGAGCATCTGGTGTTCTGGGGACGTAAAAGATTTGCTTAACATTTTGCCCATAGCAAGTCATCTGGAAATAAAAAAAAGAAAAGTTATTGGAATACATTTTTCGATGTATTCTGTAAGTTTATATCATTACTTTAACGCGATTTGCTGTTCTCGAAGTCGTCTTGTTCCGCGTAGTGAACCTTTAATATAAATTTCCTCAGTGACGGCGTTGTCCAATGTTTGTTTCTCGATATATCGGGTTTAGAAAAGACTACTGATTATATATTGTCTTGACTGTGATGCATGAATCGGCATGGCTGCGACAGGATATTTTTGTTTTACCTTCCACAATGGTCGTTTGGGAGGCTTTCTATCCACTGTAACCATTTGTCCTTCTGGCTCTCTTGACGTGGGTGTTGCCTTGACTTTTGCCGTATGGAAAACACTCCTGTAGTCTCACCAATATCGCTACAACATTGGTACTTCTTGGGTTGAAGGACCAGATCATAACTATACTGCACTCAAAATCATGAACATTTATATTGGTTATTCATGCAGTCGGGTCCAGAATGTCAATTCCACTTGATGAAACAAGTGATCTGATGTTACGTGACAAAGTATGTTTTCTATTAAAAAACTGACTGACTTGTAATTAAAACTGTACAAATTGATTGTCACCATTTAGTTTCGTATGACAAAAACTTTTAATATTTACAATAACAACTTTCGGTGATACTTACTCCACTGAAACTGAAGGCTGATCTTCTAACGTCATAATGTTTAATATTTTGTTTTCTTGTGGCGCAACTTTCAGGAAAACGATCATGAGATCATCATCCATAAAGGCTTGTAACTGAAGCTGTAAACACACACCTAACTGGTCGACTTAAGGTAAAGAACCTATCTTAATTATCAGTTTAATTTTAATACTATACTGCTGGTCTATCTTTACTCAGTAAGTGAGATACCTTTTTACATCTTCAGTTCGTCGTAAAAACCTTTGTGAATCTAAGTCCAAAATTGTAAATGAAATTTTCGAAAGCAGAAGTTTGTTGACACAATAAGATAACAATAAACTTAATAAATCTTTGAACATGTGCGATTATTAACTAACTAAAACGACAAAAGTTTTTCCAAAACTTAAAGGTTCTTAATTTGTGTTTAATTTTAAGAATATTTTGCCGAAGTTGAATATTCTTAGAGAAAATTCTTCAGTATTATTAAAGCTAAAACACAAATGTAGTGCAGCTATAAAAGCAGAATGAGACTTTTTTCAATTGTTCATTGTAGATTACGATTCATTCACTCACTGTAACAGAGAAACATCGATCTACATTAGTGGGCATTGTACTGTATGAGCGACCCGCGCCTATTGAAGACCAGATGACTGACAATTTCTTCGGCAGATAATTATTACTGAGTGGATATAGGTACGGCAGCCATACGCCAAAAACCACACTGGATATAGGTACGGCAGCCGTGCGCCAAAAACCACACTGGATATAGGTACGGCAGCCGTACGCCAAAAACCACACTGGATATAGGTACGGCAGCCATACGCCAAAAACCACACTGGATATAGGTACGGCAGCCGTACGCCAAAAACCACATTGGATATAGGTACGGCAGCCGTACGCCAAAAACCACATTGGATATAGGTACGGCAGCGTGGCGATCTAGATAATACAGATAGATTGAATTGCACCTTGAACACAACTGAACCAAGGAGAACACCATGAGACCTAAAGATGTCTCAAAAACTCGTTGAATTAATCGCCAATTTCCAAAGAGCACAGAGAGAAGCCATCTTCCCACTAATTCAAATTCACGTGACGTAGATACGACTTAAGCTGATTGGCTGAGTTAGAAGTAAACAAAAATTATACCTGCAAACTTGTACTTTCTTAAATGGAATAAAAAAAACGTGATAATAACCCGAAAACTGTAAATATTCGCCGGAAACGCTATTATATATATATATATATATATATATATATATATATATATATATATATATATATATATATATATATATATATATATATATATATATATATATATATATATATATATATATATATATATATATATATATATATATATATATATATATATATATATATATATATATATATATATATATATATATATATATATATATATATATATATATATATATATATATATATATATATATATTTTTAATTTTTTTTTTTTTTGGTGGGGGGGGGGTTTACTTCTGTGAATGGTCACTATACGGAATATTAACCATTTCTTTTCTCTGACATTGAATTGCTCGCCATATATTATCAAGTCCTGAAAGAACTGTTGTCAAGATTAGAAGTATCTAGACAAGGTAAGTAGAGTGACTGTGTCAAATAACGTTCAATTAAGAAACTTGAACCAGCAACAATTAACAAGAATTATGCTCTTATGCTATAACTTATATTATGACTCCAGGCAGTGTTTGCTTTTTTCAGCTTTCAGAAGTCGCCAAACACATTATATTGAATTTGCAAAGTCAGCTTCTTGAAATTAAAATCAATGAACATTATCTTGAGTCACATTGTGTCGGGACACAGACTGTAAGTAATAAATTAGGCAATGGCAGTGTTGACTCCGCGCTGTTAACAAGGTGCGAATACGAATTCTAAATTACAACCCAGCGACATTGCGTTTTAGTGTATAAGTTATAAAATAAATTTTAAATGATTCAGTAAAAAAAAAAAAATAGTGGAGCGGAATGTCAACGATCTCATTGTATTTCTCTATTGTTTATTTTGTCATGAGTTTCTAACGTTCAGATTTACTCGGAGCCATACTGAGAGATCCATGCACTAACGTTATGATGAAAACACTGTGTTCTTGAATGCAAAATAGAGTAGCAGCTGCGATTTACTATTGGAGATCACACACGCTTGCTTATGGTAGTCCACACACACACACACACACACACACACACACACACACACACACACACACACATATACACACATAGGTGTTGGAAGACTTGGAACATCTTGAGAAAGTCAGTTAATGTTAGTAATAATAATTTTCGATAAAATTATTGATACGAAGAGCGAAGCAAACAACTTCCTAACCCAACGTAATTATAATACAGTACCAGGAAATGAGTTCCCAAGTCTAGCACATGAATGAAGACAAATCCTTCCCTTAATAGATCTGTGAATTTACCTTTTACTGACCCCAACCCTGATGCAACAGGTCTATAATTCCAAATTTTTATTTCCAGGTTACTTTTGTGTTCACAGTTAGATGTAGCCATATCAATGCATCTTCTATTTTTCTAAGTTTATATTTTTTTAAGCATCTTACCTACACTGAATGCATTTAGAATCCTTGATTATTTTCTTTTAGCCGCAGAATATGTTTGTTGGTGGCGAAAAGAAGGTAAAGTAGGAGGAAATTTGGAGCAGGAAGAAAAGATATATAGACTGTATATATAAAGTGATTAGTTTACGTTTGGTTAAGTTAAGTTAGCTTAGGTTAGGTTAGGTTAGGTATTTTAGCTCTTTTGTAGTCCTTAGCGTTAGCATTATTCGGTGCAATAATTGAATTATGAGCCACTTTACTATTAGATATTGCTAGAGTGTAGACTAGTGGATCATCTTACCACAAGTCATTGCTAGTTCACGATGGGTTCAGTCTAGATGGTGATTGACGAGATGTACATGTTATTGACAGTATGGTTGTTATGTATGTGCATCAGGAGAAAGGTAATAGTGTTATCAAATATTAAAACGACATATGAAGGATACTCTCTCACCGATGACTGAAACATTAGTGTAGTGTTATGGCTCCCACAAAGACTCTAGCTTAGTATTTCAGCGGCTAAGAATATTACATTATATTCTACCTTCACCATAAACAACTACCACGTATTCTGAGAAGTATGATTGTATTTTGTGTGTGTGTGTGTGTGCGCGCGCGTGTGTGTGTGTGTGTGTGTGTGTGTGTGTGTGTGTGTGTGTGTGTGTGTGTGTGTGTGTGTGTGTGTGTGTGTGTGTGTGTGTGTGTGTGTGCGTGTGTGTGTGTGTGTATGTATGTATGTGTGTGTGAACCCCCTCATGTGAGCATTATGAAAGTTGGTACAGTGTCTAATGAGATGATACACACAACATATAGAAGACCGCCTCGGGGTATAGCACTGTTTTCATTTATTTTGATCTGGGTGAAATGCTGTTATTATAAATGGAATAACTCACTCGCTTTGATTAACTCATTATAGAACTTTTGTCGGAAGGGAGAAGAATAAACAAATAATGATGATAAAAGGAATGAAAAGAGGGTGGTCTTATTATACTGCACACCACTATCATGGCAGGTGTCATCCAGCCATCTCCGATAACCTCCATTAATTAACACCTGATTCTTTGTCGAATAAGAAGATTTTCGGATATTCTTGTCAATACTTCCTGTGTTGCTAATTGAAGGTTATTATTGCTATCGAACTTTCCTTGACATATTGATAAAGTGTCTTAATGATGCTTTTTCAACGGCGTGTTGTCGATAACATGGTGGTGACGTGTTAACCCCGATCTGATGAAGGTGTTTTATTCATGATGACTCGGATCTGCAGTGTGTGTTGAGGGCGTGACGGTGATGAGGTTCCAGGAAGACGGACAAGAGACAATGGAGACGAGAGCTGTGTACGCTGGCGACCATGGGAGATCCGACCACCTTTACTCCTTTACCTTCTGCGTCAGATTCAAGATATTCTTCCTTCACCAGCGGGGCACACTCTTCTTCATGTACGACAGTGTTGATCGCCGGTACTGGATGATGAGAGGAGGTGAGCTGTATTGAGACTCTCTTAGGTAGGAGTCTTAGTTTTGGTGTAAGATTATCAGCTGATTGTTTGTGGTAATTACATCTTGGGGAGAAAATTCTTGTAACATTATTAACTTCAAATGGAAATAAAAATTAAATTCTTACTTTTCGGTAAAATATTAAAGAGTGCATCGATATTCTGCCGACAACATTAAATGATATCCTTCCATAGATAAAATATCAGGTAGAGAGAGAGAGAGAGAGAGAGAGAGAGAGAAATTGTACATGTAAGGATCAAAATTGTTTAAGTTTTTTATAAGTATGCAGAAACACTAATTAATGAACATACTGGGCAGAGGTGTGGGTGGACAAGGTGAGGATCTCCATCTCTCACACCTGGCACTTCGTCCCTCTTGACCAGCAGCTCTGGACCCACAGGTGAGTTCTCTTCACTTCTCCCATCAGTACCAGAAGGATGCCGGAGTCTAATCGCACTAGTTACCAATAAATAAGATGAATATCATTAAAGATCAACTCCTGTTCTTATTTGTTCAGTGTTATTGTTCTTACTGCTCAACAATGGAGAAGATCTTGACTGTGTTTACTGGTCGATTTTTGGTGTAATAAAGAAAGTTAAGAATACAGTCATACGGCAAAGTTCAGTCTCCTTAATGCTGGGTGTGACGTCAACAGAGGAAATATTTTTTATTTACATTGATATCAACAGGAGTTAAAAGGGCTTTCATTTTTTAATATAGTTTCGTATTAAAATTTCGTTTCAGCATCTCCCTACGTTGTAAAACCATATATGGAAGTTACACAACATATTACAACTTTATTATTTAGTGTGGTAATAAACTAAAGTATAAACTATATTATAGTCGCTTTATAACGACCTGAAGGTATCTAGCCTCACCTGACGCCAGTTACCATGACAACTTCCCCAGTCTGGAAGTTTTCATGACGTCTGTTATTCATATAGTTTTGTTAATATGGAAAAGAGATAATTAGTTAATATGCTTTATATTCATTTAGATAGCAATCCTTATATTAGGTAACTGCTCTACGTTTATCTTTGATGAATGGAGTTTGAAATTATATGATCATTTTTATAAGCAAATTATAAAACTGTTAGAACACTTTTCACTCTCCATGTTGATTTATGCCTCTTTTAGTATTTAAATCAACCTGGTTAAGACAGTGACTAGGTGCTCATAATTATCAACGAAAATTAGCCAATTTATTGATGTTTCATTATCTTAAGCGACGGTTAGCCCGCGGGTATATTGAGTTTTATACTGGTTGATCTATCCATCAGAAACCTAATGTTGATTAATTTAACAAGTTGTATGTTTGCAGGTGGTACCATCTTTGCTTTACCCATAACCACCTAACCTACGTGATCAGGGCCTTCCTGAACGGGCAAATGGTGAGGAACACTACCTACAATGTCAACCGACCAGCCTTTGGCGACAATGTGGTACTCGGCAACGGGCGGGCCTCCGAGGAGAGCTACAGTGGAGACATATCCCAGGTATGTACAGTACATAATTTATCATTTTGAATTCGGGAATTTATGATTCGTTTCTTTATGCGCCTTTTACATACTGTGTTTGTTTGGGTTCCTGAGAACTCTAATCACTTGTAACCAAATGGCTCAACCCTCCGAAGATCCTCCATATTTATAGTTCGTCTCACAAGATAAGATTTCTAATGCCAGACAATATGGGCCCCTTCAATACTACTAAATCAAAAGACATATCATATAGTAACATGTAATATATTGTGCATTCAATTTATTTATTTTTTCAACGGCATCATCCTAGCATTACATATAATTGATATTTTAGGCATCACCCTTACTTCAAGTCTTACCATGACAAACTATATAATGAACCTTGGAGTCAGGTCCTTCTTTACCGATGGACAGTTAGGAAATTCCTTTTTGCGGAACTTGTCCCTTTCAAGATTCATTAATACCCATGACTCCCAACCTAACCTCAAGTAGTTCAAATCATTTAACTTCACACAAATTTGTTCTTTGGCAAGGAGACACCTCGGTCAACAGGTCAGACGACGACATTGTTTCATCTTTCCCTGTCGTGTTTTATTTATTGAAAATTGTTTGTCATATTTACTCCACCATCTTAATCATACATCATCTGCATTATCATTATGCCAATATGTGTGTGAGTAATGACTAAATGTCTGGATGCCTAATTTTGTTATGTACAGTACCATGTTAGTCTATTCCCTCAAAGTATCATCAGACATTATTCATAATCTATACGTCTACAGGTTAATATCTGGGACCGGGTATTGAGTGACGAGGACATCCAGAAGATGGCTCACTGTCAGATTGATCCTACGGGAAACTTCATCTCGTGGGAGGAAGGTTGGGATCTCCAAAACATCTCTACTTATGACATGCCTCTGGGTCAGTTTTGTGAGCAGGAAGAAGGAAATATCTACTTTTGGTTCCCAGATGTCACGGACCCCACGGCCCAATACCTATGTGAAGCATTGGGCACTCATCTGCCGCACGTCACCAGCCTGCAGGAAGCCCAGTTCTTGTACCAACTGTCGGAGACAATGTGGCCTGAAACTGACCATTGTCCAGTGTATATCTGGAGTCCACTTAACGACAAGAAGGAAGAAAATGTTTGGGTGGCTTCTTATGACAGTAAATTAGTCGATAATACCTCTTACTGGTCACCAGATGAACCTAATGGTTACCGATATGAAAACTGCGCTGCAGTGCGAAAAGACGGGCTGATTGATGATGACTGCGCCTGGTACAGGTGCGCATTATGCACCTTTACGCAGCCTCAGAGATTTTCCTTTCTCGGAACATGTGAACCAGAATTGCGTAACGTATACTTTGTTGCGTACCAGGAGGAATATGGTGGACTGATTTTCAGGAGTTACGGATCATACCACATTAAGAAAGAGAATGGGACATGGATCTATGTGGACACCGTACAAGGCTACAATATCGCCAGGATGGAAGCCTTTGATCCCGAGTTTCCAATGGGACGTAGGTGGTGGCAGTTGGAGCGAGAGGTGTGCGGCCAAGTCACCGGTGGTCGACGTCGTATGCTCCTCACACCTTGTCTCTACCAGCATTATACATGTGATGACGGCACCTGCATCCCACACCACTACCGCTGTGACCTGAAATACGACTGTCGAGATCAAAGCGACGAATTGGATTGTGAACTTATCTTATTTCCTAAAGACTACCATCAACACCTGCCTCCGAGGGTGCCGGGAAAGGAGGACTCCAAGCTGCCGGTTGTGATAAAGGTTATCGTCAAGTCCATAGATGTTCAGACTGTGGAGATGGCCATGAAATTATCTTATGAAATAGAGATGAGTTGGTATGATAACAGACTTCAATATTATAATTTAAAGTCGAATGATAGTCTCAACAGCCCGCGTCTTGACACTATGATGAAGCTGTGGTCACCACTGGTGAAGCTCCTCAATACAGACACCATCGATCAGTCACTGTTGGCCTTTGACGCCACCACACTTGTCAAGAGGCTGACCAAACCCTTGTGGAGGGACGAAGGCGCTGCTGGCGAAGGTTAGAAACCATCCATTAGGCATCAGACCTTAAGAAGTTCTTTTTCTTTTAAGTAGATCACACTCAACGTGATGATTAGTTTGCAATGTTTCTCTTACGACACTATTTTCAAATATTCTTTTCTGTTACAATGCAAACAGTACTTACTAAGTCCTTCCCATTGTTCCCACAGTGGACATATACTCGGGAGAGGAGAACCCCTTATCGGTGAGCAGGAAGTACAGTACAAAGTACGCCTGCCAGTTTGACCTCACACTCTACCCTTTTGACAGCCAGCATTGTGACATTCACCTCCAGATTGTGTCTGGCCAAGTGTCCTTCCTCGACGTCCACCCGGACTCTGTTGTTGTGTACTTGGGGAGTCAAGTGCTGAACGAATACAAGGTAAGTCCATGTGTGTGTCTGTGTGTGAGAATTTAGGGAGAACAAGAGAGTGTTTTAGTAACCAACTCGTGTTTGTCACAGATCGGGGATGTGAAAGTTCTGTTGGAGAAGGAATACATGCCAGGTGAGGCTCGGGTTCGTGTGCCAATGACGCGGCTGTACGGGAACTCCATCCTTACTATCTACATCCCGTCCCTCATCCTCATGATCATTAGTTACCTCACCCTCTTCTTCAGAACCTCCATCTTTGACGTGCGTGTGATGGTCGCCCTCACCGCTCTTCTTGTTCTAGCAACACTCTTCGCCCAGGTGACCCTATATATGTGACTAAGTGTTATCTGCATGATTAAAATTTATGTAAATGATTCCAAGATGTTATTGATTCATTAATATTAAGTATTAAGACGCTGCGTTTCTATTCCTTCAATATTCATAAATACTTATAATGACACAGAGAAGTATAATGCATCTTCCCCTTCCAGGCATCTTCTTCACTCCCCAAGACGTCATACTTCAAGATGGTGGACATCTGGTTGTTATTCTGCGTGGGCATCACTTTCCTGGTCATCATATTTCATATACTGATCGACAATCGGCTCTTCAGCCAGGCCAAGAAGACCCAGGTGAAGCCTTTTGGAAAGTCGGATTCATTTGTCGATGACGAATTCGTGGGTCTGCGGGGCCGCTGCCGCTGGTCACCCAGTTTGTCCGTAGAACAGCTGGAGAAGTTGGCCAAGGTGGCCGTGTTCCTCCTTATCATATCTTTCATCACTGGCTACCTCGTGTATATAATGAAATAAGTATCCCTGTCAAGGCTCACTCAGTCTAGCGATGAGTACATCTCTTGTTTTATCATCATTAACGTGGACATAAAATCCTAAACAGAAGAGTGTCAGAGTGTGACTTGAGATCCCTCCGAGATAGGACACAACAATTCTAGGGTCCCGAGTGGATGGCGTCACGGTAATATGAACCTTATATGAAAACATTTTTTTCATGAAAATTTAAGAGCATCACTGTTGTCACCACCGGCAACATTCAAAAGCCTCGATCCTTCGAATTATTCTAAACAAACACAATTCTTATAATGTCGCCATTTCAATGTTCTAAGTTCTTATGGCCGGGCACTTCGATCTTTTTATTTTCTTTGTAGTAGTGAGGTTACCCCAACTGTCTGTTCTGTTTGCTCCAATTGATTCTTATTACATATTTACCTCGCCCATAGATAACAATACATATTGGCACATTCTTAGGTTTATTTTATGTGACCAGAGAGAAAGTATTTATATATGGGGATGTTTTATCTTATTGCTTTATATGTTTAGTTAATATTTTTATAGTAAAGATAATATTCACAGATGCAGCTGAAGCAACATTCATAGAATATTTCCCCCACACATCCAAAGTTGTTGTTAACCTGTGATGTGGATTATGGAATATTTTTGGAATAATTATACACTTGTACATGTAATAGAAATTAATAAAGATAAATAATAAAATTACACCCCAGGTAGTCGCAGGAATTTTTTATTGAAGTAAATAAATTTCCTTGGCACGATACTGTTTAGCATGCAGGTACATATCACAGTGTTTAAATTATATCACCACATATAATTATACAATATGAAGTCCTTAATAATAAAATAATCATGCACTTGAGAAAAAAATATGTTCATCATATTTTTATCCTTAGGTGTTACAAATGGGATACACAGATTAAAGAAATTATTTACTCTATTTCCTGTTGTTTAAATTTACAGTAGATTGAAGAGCTGTATGGCTGATAATGGTTGGATGTAAATAAGGCTGCCTCGTATGGATCAATAAGCCTATACTGTAGTTTCCTTTATTCGTATGTTCCAATTAAACACAACCAAGGGATTTATATTAATCAAAGCAAAAAATAAACAACAACATCAACCTTAGAAGAACTTGATTCATTATTTCTCACAAAACAACATTATACAGTACGTCATAATGAAGTGTTGAGGTTCACTGAAGGGAATGATTAGCTTGTGGCCTCCTTGCTTCTAGTTCAACGTTATGAAAAGCACAGTTGTACAATCCAGTTTCTGTAATTTCCCTATATTGTTGGATAAAAGAAATATAGATGCCCCTGATATATGGCCTAGTTTCCTGTTGCCAGTAAGCACGAGGAAAATTAAGGTAATGGCAAATTTCCTCTTGACTTGGTAAATTCAATCATAAAAAAAACTCCTTCGCTAATCCTTCCGGCTAAACTACATCTCTCACTTAGTATGTTAGACTCGTAATTTAACGCTACTCATCTTTTTGGGTTGTGTAAATTATATTATGTTGTATAAGACAAGGGGAATTACCAGTTTACATTAAAACTTACAGCTGGGAAAATAAGAATTGAAAATTCGTTTTATATATTTATATTTATTTTATTTATGAATTAATATATTAATTTTGTTCTTAAATATAAATCCTATATACATATATTTGTGTAATTTTTAATCAACTATTATTCACATATTTATTCACTCAACGATTCATTCAATATCACCCAATGTATCACAAGAAGACGATCATTTGTTTGGATACAATTTCAGAGATTCAAATTTGCTTAGCAAGAGAGCACATGAAAACAGAGGAAGGTGACCCAGTGTTGCTTTGTCTAGGCTCACGAACACTATACTTACAGCTTTCTGGTAGAGTCGCTCAAGCCAAGAATGTCTGACGTTAAAGTAGATGATAATACGGTAGGTGTGCGTGTTCTTGTCACTCCGTTCATTGTCACTGAGGTTCATGATTCTTCATATTCTCTTCACTTTTCGAAATGTTCTTCCCATTTCATATTGTAAATCAACACTTCTTCCAATTTCTTACATCACCAGCAGGATACTTGATCGCAGTGTGCCTGTAGTTGTTTTTGTTATTACTTCTCATTGAGGTACCTCAACCACCATTCACGTTTATGTTTTTCAATACAACATCCAAAACAAAATATCTCCGGTGAACATTGTGGTGAACCGCGAATGATTTGTCACAAGTGTTGGAGGTAAGGCTGGGTATCTGTGTACAGAAGTTCATTGCAGCAGTGGCTGTAGCTCCCCCTGAGTGTTCATTTTATTCAAGTGCCAATGAATATATCTATAAAGTGATTAAAAGATAAATTAATAACGGTATCAATAATAATAATAATAATAATAATAATAACGGTAATAAAATAATAATAAATATAAACAAATTTATAATAGAGATACAATAATTCCCTACTGTCAATTAGACTCTTTTTAACGTCAACAAAATGAAACGAATTCTGAATCGCTCTGTATTTCATTAGTGGAGTTTGGCAGAAAATATCTTCGTGTAGATCAATTTATTTTGACCTACGAAAATCAGTAAATTTAGGACAGTCGCCGATCTTTGATTTTTTGTAGCCTTTAGATACGAAGTGCTTTACCTTTGACCTCTACAAATAAGATGGGGTGTAAGTCCAATATATGAAACAGAGGTCGATTCTTATTCAAAGTTCTAGCACTCTCGGAAGCAAAGTACACTACCTGTACACCAAGATATCTGAGGTGAAAATTTATCTTAACAATTGGAACAATTTTGGAATATTTCTTAAAATTATTGTACAATTTAAATTATTCTTGCAAATATGCACAGAAGATGATTATTTCCTCCTTAGGCAAGTTTCTTTATTTCCTGTGACAAACAACTTTTATTTACACTGTGACTATTGATGCCCCAAGTTTCCAAGACGGTAATATTGAGAAAATCAGTCAACATGATCCTAACACAAAAAGCACACGAGGTACTGTACACTCCGCCCATATATGTCGGACGGACAGACGAACAGGACAAGCCTAGATCTAGGGAAGGGACATGAAATCAATGATGATTATCGTATAAATAATAATTGTATCTTAACAATATTCATTATTTGAAAAATCAAACTGAATACAAATCATAAGAACTTAGAAACATAATCCTTACCCGAGGATAGTGGTGGCGATAGTCATGCAGGAGGCGGCTACCAGGAAAGTGAGGCCCGGGCGGTGGGCAGCAAGGAAGACTGGGTACACCATGTCGAACATCAACGATCCCAACAGCAGCGACACTTGAGCCATCGACTGCATCACCGTCAACGCACGACCTGCCACAATATATAAATACAGTACAGTACATATACACACACTAGATGGGGAACCCGCAGTTGCCAGAGTTTATTTTTGAGGGACAGCCTATGTCCTTGGCTACACTATTAGCTATAAGTACACAACATCCATCCGCTACACAGTCTACACTATCATTTTTTGCCACTACAGATTAAAAACAAAATCTGAGCGGATGTAAGTCCTGCCAGCGAACAGTTACAATGGAACCCCCAGAAAACCCTATTACCATGGCAACACCAAAAAGTTTATCACGTGGACCCAGTCACAGATTGCTCACACGCGCGCACACACACACACACACACACAAAAGCACATATACGCACGCGCGCACGCAGGAAATCCATACTCTGCCTCACAGTTGCTTCAGGGTAATAAGGAGATAAATTAAATCGGGTCTGAGGGTTGGAGAGAGTGTCGTGTTTTACTGATCTTCCTTATTATTATTATTATTATTATTATTATTATTATTATTATTATTATTATTATTATTATTATTATTATTATTATTATGTTTTCGCCCCCAGGCATTGATGTGGGTCATTGACCTGTGCCCGGGTGAGCTAATCCCGTAAAAAAAAAATAATAATAATAATAATAATAATAATGATAATAATAATAATAATGGAATAAACTTGCTCATAATTTTTTGGATATTCTCCTGAGGTCGATGACCAGTACGTCACACCAACACTTGTAACAAAATGCTCAGGTTACTGTACTTCAGTTTGAGGAATGATTAATCCAATCTATCCAACGGCTACGAATGTTAACGTATGTTGGCAGTACACACTGCCCTGACCTGACTGACATATTTGGTGTTTAATCATCATACTCAAGTTGCCATCTTCGTCCAATCAGAGTACTCATACTGTCATCGTTGTCCAATCACGGTATTCATACTATTACCCCAGTCCAGGTAGAGGTCGGGACTAGTACCCTGGTGCATCATTTATTTGTCCCTCACCTCCCGTAACTCAGACACACCTTGTTCATCGTGATTGACGAGGCTGGAGATGATGGACCTCAGCACCACGAACAAGTACTGACCGAAGATGTCCACGAATGGTACTGTAGAGAAGAACAGGGGTGTGAGTACGTTAATGCGCTCTTAGGTTATATAGTATTAAACATTAACATCTTAAAACATGCAAGGTGTTAAAAGAACATAGTCATCTGGAGACACATAGACAGTGACATGGAACACACGAAGACTTTTATATCAGGCTGTTAGAATATTATCGACTGCCAGAGGTGATGAACGACAGCTGTTTTCTTTTCGAACTTGATAAAACCAATTTGCTTAATCATGTGAAATTTGTTTACAAAATGGCAACCTATTAAATCAATTTCGTTATAACCTAAAAAATCATGAAATTAAAAGAAAAAACTAGCTGATGGATTTTAACACTTACTTGAAACAACACTGTTTTTTATTTTTATAACTTTATGCAGTACATTCTAGTTCCATACACAAAAATCTGAGAGACTAAACTACGTTTTTCTGGCTAAAACAGGGTTCCGATTGGAGATGAGTCACTTACCAACGTAGACCCAGTAGTGTGAGGAGTTGAAGGCGAGGACGATGAAGGCAAATATCCGGGAGACTCCGCCCAGGAACCCCAGAGTAATGTCATTCAGGTTAAAGGCTCTACGTAGTCCGGGCAGCACCAGCAGCAGCGATACACCGTTCACCGTGTTCTTGATGGCCAGGTAGTCTGAGTACTGATCTAACGTGAACTCCAGTTTGGTCTGCATATACAGGTACAGCAGGTCGAACTCAGCTGTTATTTTATCGAGATAGAAATGGAGAATACATTCAATAACTCGCCCCTTTGATTTTGTTTACGTGTTGTGCTCGTACATACTGTAGAATTTCGGACATGTGAAAAGTAGTCCTATCTATTCGGTTTTGTGTGATGCGATATAAATTATACTTCAGTAATTTCTAAGTTCTTTTGATCTAATTATATAAAGAAAATTGTAATTTCTAAGACATGAGATAGTCCGAGATGAGGAATTCTAGAATATAATATGCAGGTACTGCGGTCCACCTGAGAGAAGACAATATACCCAAGTTAAATATGAAACTAAATTATCTCTTATACACACACACACACAACTAAGGTCTTTAGCGCGTAACAAGATAAAACTCTCTTCTTACTGGTGGGGGGGGGGGGAGCAACCGCAGCAATGAAGTATTAACAAATGCCCAATGGCGGATATTGGGTAACTGGAGCAGCCTGTGCTGGGGGCGGCTCTCAGGGGAATTGAGAATTAATACTGACTGATACTAAATAATGAACAATATTTCAGTCTGCACCTGCTTATTTTTTTTTCTATATATTGAAAAGCTTATTTTACATTTGGAAGGTACCACACAGAGATGTGTGTTATATATATTTACGGGGATTAGCCCACCCGGGCACAGGTCAGCTACCCACAAAGGGACCTGAGGGGGCGATTTTTTATTTATTTTTTAACCATAAATAAATATATAAATGGAAAAATAAACCAATTCAAGAGTGAGAAACAATATATATATTGTGGTGTCAAAGTAAGAAAAACAATTGAGACCCTGCAATTGTGTGTAAATGAGGCAGAAAGTGAGTTAGATCACAACTTGGGACTTGGTCACAATTTTTGTGATGGCATATATATTTTTTCAGCATAAGACTACGTATATACTGTATATTGTTTGTGTATGTATTTGTCCACTGTTTCGAGATAAAAAATTGTTTTCTCCTTTTTTTAATATTCCAGATGTATGAAACAGTAAGCTTAGACTGTTAATTTGCACCCTGATTAAGTGAGACAGACTCAAACATCCCAAATAAGGTTAGGTGACTTAGGTCACTTCATCGTATCTCTTATATATCTGTTATAGTGAAATGGTCGCTGGAAGTGTTCGCACAGGTATGTATGAAACGGTCGCTAAACTCACCAGCATAGACGACAGCGATGAAAAAATCTGCCACTATAAGCAAGACGATGGCTAAACGTGTGCCGGCAGCCCTCTTGCGGAAGGTTACGGAGATGGCACTTCCAAAGTCGCGGACCAGAGAAGGAACCCATACTCGTCGCCGCTGAGAGCTGACCGGAACTTCTACGCTTATGGTCGTAGAAGTCGTCTTTCCGTCAGGTACTACTGTACTGTCAGGCAGGATGAAGATGATGTAGAGTATTGCCACCACGAACACACCCTCGCTACCTGTAGTATTGTTATAATGTTATTACTGTGTTTCAACAAAGGTCTTTAACAGCGAAACAAAGTTAGCAATACACTATTTTTTTTAGTCCAATAAAATTTTAAAAAATATACAAATGTGAGAGATAGAACTCTATATGCAGTAGTAAATGTGATTAACCTCTAAAATATAGTCTAAAAATGAGTCATGTGTTTGTGTTCGTGACAAACGAATGTTGCTGTCATTAAATAATTATATTCTCGCTGTTTTTATCATTATTAATGTTGCTCCTAAAATTTCCACTACTATTACTACTACTACAGTACAACTGTGATTGGTACTATTACAACTGCTGTTGATATTGTAGTTATCATTATCAGTACAATTATATTTACTTTAATTATTAGTATTGTAGGTGAGATATTACTTGTAGTAGCAGCAATAGTAATGATGGTAGCCGTCATCATAATAATACTAAGCCAGGACTAACAAGAACAGCAAAATGAATTAGAGCAGTAACAGAAGCATTAGGAAAAGTGGCAGTAATAGCAGTAGTAGTTACGGTAATATGATATTACTGAATAAGGTTAACAACTGGTTGCCTTGTATTAGATTGATATACTGTACTTAACGAGCGCAGTGTTGTTTTAGGGAGGGAATTGGTAGTTTCATGCGGCGATAAGAATGATTTTATCGTCAGTTTTAAGTGAAAAATTGTCTATTTATCGAGACAGGTTGTATCTATATACTGAGAAGAGGGGGTTACGTCTGCCTGCTGAGCTGCTGGTGGTAGGCAAGTGAACTATTCACTGACGAAGTCTGATTTACTCACTGAAGAAAGGTATGATATACTCACTGAGGAAGAGGTAATCGTGTCGGCTTGTGATATAATGGTTGAGAATGGCCAAAGCGAGAGGTCCCATAGCGCTGCCGAGAAATACCGTAGCTTCCACCACCGCCAGCCTCCGAGTGAGCTCTTCATTCCCAACTCCACTCACTACGAAGCTCGATACTGACGACTCAAAATAAAGTAACACTTAAATTGCTTTATGTGTAAATATTGCTTTGTTATTGCCATGTATATACGTCTTGAATACTCTATAACTTATGGAATACTGTACCGGGATGTTAATGGTATTGAACATTTTAATATTACTAATCTAAATCTTAACATAATCATGTATCCACAGACTATAACATCCTCAACGATCTGGTCAATTTAGAAATGACATGTTCTCTTACAAACCCCTCATGAGAAGGTTTATTAAAAAGATAATTTAAAACCCAGGATAATATATACTAACTTTATTTCCCAACCTAAGTTAAGGCAAGGATTCCAAACTCAGGATGATGGCTCACTCATATAGTCCATTGCGCCTCACCTGATATCATTGCTTTATCCTCTTTGCTACATACAGTAATTCCAGTGCCAAAGAAGATTCGGATTATATACTTGTTTTACCTAATACACATTGAGTGATACTCTGAGACTCACTAGTATTTCTGAAGAGTGGATCGTCATCGATACTTTATGCATTAAAACAAGAAAGAGCTCATAAAATTCAATGACAAAAGTAGGTTTACGACTCACTTGTCTTGATCCTCTAAAAATCTAAAGAAAGACAGGTTTCTGGTTATTTTAGTGTTGTTGGAATAATGTATAGTTGCACAGAAATTGTATTCCATTGTAGACGGTTGGGGTGAATCAGAGCCGTAGATAGAGATCTACTGCTCTGGGGTGAACGAGTTCGCCCATTGGACTAAGCCATCCTCCTAGACTCTATCTACAGTAGAGTCTGGAGTATAGAATCCTTGGTTAAGGTGACCCGAAACCATCCCAAACACCACAGAGAACAAGTTAGTAATACTGGCTTCTCAAGATTTGTTAGACTGAGTATTTGAGCAAACCAGAGGTAAACAATCATCAACTCCAGAAAGAACCCACCCTTAAGAGCGACAGTATTAGGGTTGGTGTTTATCAACCCGGGTGTCTTAAGAAATGGCTGATGGTCTCATCCTTCCACGATAAAAATACTAATAATAAAAATGCCAATAATCACAAAAAAATCAATAAAATCAATAATGTTTGAGTGTATACAGAACCCTGCATTTTTTACTTTCTTCTTGCTATTAACATCTTAACATATTTACCAAAATAATCTTTTAAGAAAATCTAAGCAACGTACAGTCGCGGACAAAAGTTCTCTCCCCGTGATGAAACTGAGTCATTGGAATGAATCTCCGAACTTACTTACCATGGCTGAGGTTGTGCTGGTTCATCTCATTTGTGGTTGACACTGTTTCATTTTGGAAAGGAGCGAGCTTTTGACCCCGACTGTACATATTCCGATTTACCTTGAAAACTACAAATCCTCCCGTGAAGCCGTTGAGGACCGCACCGAGGTAGAGGAAATTAAGCGTTAGAGATGGCACGGCGGCCACCACAGCACACACCAAGCTTAGCACCAGTGATCCCATGAACGGCACCAGAATCACCACTTTACGGGAATATCTGTAACACCAACGCTCATCTTAACTGTATATAACATAAAATAATATCACTACATTACGCTACTGCCATAGACATTATGTTGTTATTACTGAACTAAACTAAGGTCTTTAAGCACGTAACGCGTAATTGCATCTTGACTATCTCGGTCTTATGCGAGAGAAACACAACCACCAGGGGCTCCAATACTCGGCTATATGAGGTTATCTTGCACAAGTACCTGAATAAATCAGCACATTAGTATCAGCTAAACGCAGCAGAAGTCAGTAATACCATCGTATACTATTATAATATATTTTGACTTACAGAAAAGTTGAAAGGGTAAGAAAAACATATAAGAATATAACTCAATGATATTATTTTACAACCACGATGGATGTAAAGTAAATATGAGGGGGAATTTTAAACCAAATCTCTAACGAAAAAGTTTCAGCTTAAAGCAACAAGCTCGCTCTAGCAATTTCAGTTACAGTACTGTGCCACTCGGTGCAAGAGAACAAACCACAGGCAATACTATTTGCCTGATATATGTTTTCTGTGATAGATTAATCAACGTGAATATATATTTCAATAAAAATAAAATGCATGGGGTTAGAACCATAATATTGAACAAAACAAAAAAAACAAAAGGGCAAGAGTTTGTACTTGTCTAGCGCGGCGCCCAGCAGCTGCGAGGAGACAACAGACACCAATCCAGTGATGACACTCATCCACATGACGCGACGTACAGCGGCCGCCTGCACCCACCGCATCTCCGCCGCCACCTGTGGCTCCCAGCAGTCTTCACACACCTAAACATCCACACAAGTTACCTTCACTAACTCTTAAATGATAACAAGTATTAATCATTCTACCAGATATATTCTAAAGGTCTATGTACAGGTACAGTACCTCCGTGAGTGTTGTACCTCCTCAATCACTACCACTCAGTTATAACTTGCAAGTGTACAAAAATGACGTCATTGTTGACCTTAGTACTGGCAGGTTATTCCAATGTACGATGCCAGTTAACATGAACAATCCGTCCTTCATATTTATCATTAGTCTTTGATGACTTTCTGCACTAGCGTAGCTAGGGGGGGGCGGTCCGCCCCGGGCGGCACTTTTGGGGGGCGGCACTTTTGGGTCTGCTCATCACCCATATCTGCAGCTACTGGAGACGTTAATCCATCCCTTTGTATCGGCGGCAAGTTAATCCTTGTCGTGTCTGACCTAACACCTGACCCACATCATCACGGCCACGTCATGAGCTACACCCTTGCTATGCGCCCCCCCCCCCGCCACACACACAACCTGTAACCTGTTGAGGATTAAGGAAACAACTTCAAACAAGTACGCCAGTGAGCTCATGTGGTGTGGGTCAGGTGTTAGGTCAGACACGACGAGGATTAACTTAACGCCGATACAAAGGGAAGGATTAACGTCTCCAGTAGCTGCAAAACCATGCAGTCTCGGGTCATATCAGTTCATGTACAGCCGACCAATCCACCAGTTACAAGCAATTCACTTCAGTTCTGCACAAGTCTCCATCGTGACAAGACGAGGGGAGGCTAGACGACTTTTAAGTTCTCTTGTGTTTTCGATCCAGTTATTTACTTCGTTGGAAGACATAATACTATAAGGTAAGAAATATTAAAGTATTGGTTAAAAAATATTGATGTGACTTTTGCTGCGGTACTGAGATTAAATATTAAGATTTTGTTTCACAGCATTGCGATTTTATACTAAGACACTATCCTCAATGGGGTACAAACAAAAGCCCCCCCGACAAAAGCCACCCAGACGAAAGCCACCCAGACAAAAGCCCCCTACTTTGATCGGGGTGGCTTTTGTCTGACAACAGTAAGGGCTTTCAAAAGTTACGGACATAATTAAATAGTTGAGGGTAAAATATACTGTTCTTCTCTGTGGTTAATTATTGGTTAGGTTAGGGTTAGGTTAAGTTAGGTTAGGGTTGTCAGACAAAAGCCACCCCGATCAAAGTAGGGGGCTTTTGTCTGGGTGGCTTTCGTCGGGGGGGCTTATGTCAGACATCCATTTTCACTGTACTCTGAGTCTGTAATTTTAGATTAAGTTGCTACTTTTTACATTTCCATTGTATTACATTGATACTAGTGTCATTATACCGTGATTTTAGATCATACTCAATAAAAGATAACGGTGCAGTACAATTGTTTTATGTAACGGATTCCTAACCTAACCTAATATATAATATATATATATATATATATATATATATATATATATATATATATATATATATATATATATATATATATATATATATATATATATATATATATATATATGCATGCAGAAACTTCACATCATGAAGAATAGATGCACAATAACCACTGGAGAAAGGAAAGACAAGCAGCAAGTACTTTCGTTTAATACATCCTCAGGCAGAGGATGTATTAAACCAAAGTACTTGCTGCTTGTCTTTCCTTTCTCCAGTGGTTATTGTGCAGATATATATATATATGCTGAGGAAATGCTATTTAAGAAAAAATGTTTTCCTATGCATATTACTTTTGGAATAGCGTTTTTTTATATTATGCAATGCCGAAATAATAAATAATGTACGTAATACATTTTAAATTTTTTTTTGTAAATTCACAAAAGCATTCTTTTGCTACACAGAGCTTTTTTCTTAATGTGTTATTTGTTAAAAGTGTAGAATTTGTGACTTGTGATATTTAGCTTCATCACTTTTATCTAAAGTTCTCGTCATTTTTTTCAATTTTTTTTATCTTTTAATCTTAAACATGCAGTGTGAATTTATTTCTCGAAAAATTAATGTTTTATACTTCTATCACTCTGTCCCCAGATGAAGCGAGCTAAAGAAAGTGGTGCTGTGTATAGAAAAAAGAGAAAGGCAAGAGAGGAAGTATTAAACAAGAATAAAGGGGCACTCTTTAAATACATCAGTCGTATAGAAACCAAATCATTATCAAATTCAAGGGATTCAAGTTCAACTTCAAGCGATTCGTCAACTTCAACTCCTTCAAGTGATGAAGAACATGAAGAAGAAAATATTCCGGGACCAGCTGTGGACAGAGTGGACATAAAAGATGTTGGCCTATGGCCAAGCAAGATTAGCAATGACACACGGATCTTTCTGGTACGTCAAGGTGCGTCTGTCGTTCAAAATCTAGATTCTGATTTTGGTGAAGTAATTCGTGAAGGTGTGTCAACCAAAGGACAAACTAGAAAACTAACACGCGAATGGTTTTTGCAAACTCTGCCAAATGGTGAAAGAATGTTGAGATCATGGATGGTGTACTCCCCTTCCAAGGAAGCTCTTTACTGCTTTTGTTGCAAACTGTTTAATTCTGAGGATGGATTCAACATATGGTGGAAACTGAATCCTAGAATATCCGAGCACGAATCCAGCGCAGCTCACGTTCGGAATTTCACACAATGGAAGGAGTTGGAAATTAGGATTGCTCGTGGAGCAACAATTGATGTATTTTTTGTGGGGGCACGGGCGGGGGGGGGGCGGCAAACTCAAGGGCCGCCCCGGGCGGCACACACTCTAGCTACGCCACTGACTTTCTGACTCATACACAAGTTGATGGTACCTGTACTGTACTTCGTTGTGTGACTATGAAAGCCCATCTACAGTACTGTAAGCTCTAGAGTCGCTTTTTAAAGCTTTGTTATATACTGGACGGTGATAAGTGTATCCTCATGTTTTTCTGTCAATGAAAACTCAGGTTAAGTCTTCGTTGTTTATTCAGTTGCTCTAGTCTTATATCTACCTTGATGTAAACAACTGTTGGAAACTTTGTCGTATTGAAAGTTTGAAACCAAACTCATTGGGTAGCAAGTTTTAATTCGTTTATTATAATGCCTACCACCTATTTGTCCAGTGAAAAATAGTGTTTAGTAATTTTATTGTAAAAATTAAAATAATATTATAAATACCTTCAGCATTACCAAAACTCCGTCATATTTATAATTTTCCCTTTCTCCCTTCTCATCAAGTGACAAGCTCCTACGTGTACTCACCTGTTTAGAATAGTGTTCTCTGCACAACCTAGAGAAGATGAAGTCCTGCTGGACGCTGAGTTGCACGATATACCCGACATTGTACAGAAATGACACCGGTTCCACCGTCACCTTGTACATGGCGCACAACAGGTATACCCGGCTTCAGTTCTTCGGTGAAAACAAAATCAACATTTCATGTTGCTGTTACGCTTTACAGCATAAAATCTCATTAGGTGCCTAAATTTCAATGGTCTTGGTTTTAGGAAGCCCTAGAAATCGAGGTTCTTGTGTACCATAAATTCTGAAGTCGAAAATTTCTGTCGAGACGCTTTCAGTGAAATCGAGTACAGTTCCTGTAAAAATAAAGAAAATTTATTACTAAAAACAAATATATTCTCAAGTGTAATTCACACATGTCTATTTTAAATAAAAATAGTGTGTAACACCCATAAAAGTAGCTGGGAAGTTTTCAGATATAACTATTTTTGTTGGGTAAAATACAATTTGTTTGTTTTGAAAACAATAATGCACAACTTCACATCAAATTATTTCTTGCTTTTAGTGTCCTTGTGGCCTAGCCGGTAAGCGTTTCCTAGTCCCACCCAGTAGGTCGAGGGTTCGATTCCATGCTGGTGAGGTCGTTGATTATATATATATATATATATGCAAGTAAATCACTGTAGGTGCGCGTGATCTAGGTATATGCTGATAACCACAACGAAAGAAGAAAACACGAAGTTCCCAAGCGCTTTCGTGTAATTCACATCTTCAGGGGTGAGTACAGACTAGAGAGAGTAATACAAATCAAGGTGTATATATACAGAGGAGGGTGAGACCAGGTCCACAATGGTCAGGTATTAGGTAATGACCTTACTAATCTTTAAATAGCACACAACGGTTGGTGGTCAGGTCAGATGGTCAAGTGACCCGGCCTTCTCACCTGATCACAAATCTTCTTAATTACAAAATTGTCCAGCTTGTACATGCCGTTACTCAAATTCATGTTGGATGCTTCGGTATGTTTAATAAGACTAGATTCTATGATGTTCCTACTATCAATTGAATTACATGGTAATATTGAGGAGGCATTATCCCAGTCAATGCAATGCTTGTTATCCCTCAAATGAACAAACAGAGCATTGGATTCCTGGCCTGTCCTAACACTGTATTTGTGTTGTTTAAGTCTAGTTGCAAGATCTTTACCTGTCTGGCCTAAGTAAAACATATTACATTCCTTGCAAGGAACTTTATAAATGCAACCAATTGTGTTGTTGGGGGAGTTCTTGATTAACATTTGTTTAACAGTGCATGAGTTTTTAAATGCCACATTGACGTTCCAGGTTTTTAGCTGTGCAGGAATGTGTGAGAAATTTTTGTGAAATGGTAATATTAAGATATTCTTATGGTCATGGGTGGGCTTGGGATCAGTTCTATAAAAAGTTTTCTTAGTAATGTTTAAGCATTTGTCTATGAAAGATCTAGGGTATTTAAGGTTTGAGCCAATATTATATATATATTTGTATTCCTCATCGATGAATTCCGGACTGCAAATTCTCAAGGCACGTAAAAACATTGTTGAAAATACTGACTGTTTGACTTTATTATGGTGGGCAGAATAATAATGAATGTATGAACACACATTAGTTGGTTTTCTATAAATACTGAACTTAAAAGTGTTACCTATTCTGTGTATCAGACAGTCTAGGAATGGCAATTTACAGTCTTGCTCTAATTCCACAGTGAATTTGATCGAGGGGGCTAAGTTGTTAAGTTGTGGTAGGAAAGCTTTTAGGTCCTCATTACATGGCCAGAGACATAATACATCATCAACATATCTAAACCAGACTGCTGAAGGTGGTAAAATATTACTTAATAGTTTCTTTTCAAAGAATTCCATATATAGGTTGCTTAATACAGGTGAGAGTGGATTACCCATTGCCATACCAAATTTTTGAGCATAATATTCCCCATTGAATTCGAATTTGCAATCCTTAATACATAGTTTGATGAGTTCGATGAAGTCGTCTTTCGAGACGGGCAGTGAAATGTTATCCAGGGAATCTATGAGGAACTCTAGTAAATCATCAACTGGGACCTTTGTAAAGAGTGACGTTACATCAAAGCTGACCAGTTTAAAATCATGATTAATGTGTAAGTTATTGAGTTTATCAACCAGATCCGTATTATTCTTGATATTGGAGTTAGAAATGTTGCCAACTAGGGGATTTAGTAAAGAAACTAACCATTTAGATAGTTTATAAGAGATTGACCCAACTGAGCTAATGATGGGTCTTGCTGGGTTATTGGGCTTGTGGGTCTTGATTACACCGTACATGTATGGCAGTGGAGGGGACGTTGAAGTAAGATGTTTAATGAGCGTAGCTTTGCCTCTCAATAGGGACTTCAGTTTTTTGTTGAACTGGGTGTTGACAGTGTTGAGAGGATTATTTATAACACTGTCAACACCCCTCCACTTTTAAGTTCAGTATTTATAGAAAACCAACTAATGTGTGTTCATACATTCATTATTATTCTGCCCACCATAATAAAGTCAAACAGTCAGTATTTTCATCAATGTTTTTACGTGCCTTGAGAATTTGCAGTCCGGAATTCATCGATGAGGAATACAAATATATATATAATATTGGCTCAAACCTTAAATACCCTAGATCTTTCATAGACAAATGCTTAAACATTACTAAGAAAACTTTTTATAGAACTGATCCCAAGCCCACCCATGACCATAAGAATATCTTAATATTACCATTTCACAAAAATTTCTCACACATTCCTGCACAGCTAAAAACCTGGAACGTCAATGTGGCATTTAAAAACTCATGCACTGTTAAACAAATGTTAATCAAGAACTCCCCAACAACACAATTGGTTGCATTTATAAAGTTCCTTGCAAGGAATGTAATATGTTTTACTTAGGCCAGACAGGTAAAGATCTTGCAACTAGACTTAAACAACACAAATACAGTGTTAGGACAGGCCAGGAATCCAATGCTCTGTTTGTTCATTTGAGGGATAACAAGCATTGCATTGACTGGGATAATGCCTCCTCAATATTACCATGTAATTCAATTGATAGTAGGAACATCATAGAATCTAGTCTTTTTAAACATACCGAAGCATCCAACATGAATTTGAGTAACGGCATGTACAAGCTGGACAATTTTGTAATTAAGAAGATTTGTGATCAGGTGAGAAGGCCGGGTCACTTGACCATCTGACCTGACCACCAACCGTTGTGTGCTATTTAAAGATTAGTAAGGTCATTACCTAATACCTGACCATTGTGGACCTGGTCTCACCCTCCTCTGTATATATACACCTTGATTTGTATTACTCTCTCTAGTCTGTACTCACCCCTGAAGATGTGAATTACACGAAAGCGCTTGGGAACTTCGTGTTTTCTTCTTTCCTTGTGGTTATCAGCATATATATATATATATGTAAATCCACAATGAAAATGTGGATAAGATAACTCTTGATAAAATCACACGGGAAAATGGAAACAACGGAGCACCTTAGCTTTCGTCTTTATTCAAGACATCTTCAGAGGCAACTGGACTACATGGAAAGAGAGAGGCTTAAATATATAGGGTGACCTTAAAAACATGAGGTCAGGTCATAATGATGTCATCCACTAATCCCCACACCAACACACACGTAGAGGAGCTTAAGAGAAGGGGGGTGACGTGACTGGTCAGGTCAGGTCAAAAATAAGGGACCCACAAAATAACTATCATACACCTAGATCAAAGGTTTTCAAAGCATTTTTAACCTTGGGCCACTGACAAATAAATTTATGTAACATATTATCAGTTTTGAACTGACCATCACTAAGGTTATTTTGTGGGTCCCTTTTTTTTGACCTGACCTCATGTTATTAAGGTCACCCTGTATATTTAAGCCTCTCTCTTTCCATGTAGTCCAGTTGCCTCTGAAGATGTCTTGAATAAAGACGAAAGCTAAGGTGCTCCGTTGTTTCCATGAGAGAGAGCAACCAATTTCACATACGATGTAGTTGGTTTCATACGAAAAAAATAAACCGATTTCTGAAAACTCAATCCGAAAAAAAGTGCTGTGCAGCTGTTCCGTGCCAGGTCACACCTGGCCCCCGTGGAAAAGGATGATGTCACTAATGAGGTGATGCACGAGTGTTAATTAGTCATTGTGCTATCTGTGGAACCCATAATTACATGCAAGGCATTGGCAAAGGTTTAGCTAAACACGTAGCAAAAAGAACAAACTATGTATTCACGATAACAACACGCACAAAGGACATGGTTGTGACAGGGGGAACACACCCAACTAGTCTGAACTTTATCCAGCTTTCAACTGATGAACTGACTCAGGGAAGGTGCAGGTGTTTGGCTGTAAAATTATTACTGAACAATTAACAATGACTCACATAGTGACGTAGTGGAATGTAGCAGGAATCTTCAAGAAATAATCTTACAGGAAGTAATGGTACAGAACATATTTAACATTATACTCATATTATTATAATGTACATGGGAAAAACTTTTCATGGAACCCTTATTATTTACTACAAATTTAAACACTACAGGGGAGAATGGCCGCATAATAACGTTACGTAATTGATAATACTTTGAGGTCAAGAATGACGCTTCAGTCGTGAGTCCGATTTTTTAAGCGTTTGAGTAGAATTTTTTATTTTTCCTGATTACGAAACTTTTACCCTTTGAGCTAGACTTTATAAAAAAGTTTGTGTTCGAGTGCTTGAAAAGGAGAGTACTTATTAAAACTGACAGCTTGTGAGAATGATAACCAAATCTTGTCAGTAAGATAGCCCATTACTCTGATTACAGCACCACAAGTACTATTGGCTCAGAATAGACTTGGTGCATTAGCCTATAGTCGAACACCCTCAGTCCTCTGCTCTCCCACAATAGAACAGTTTACCAATCTTAAACCGTGGAAGCGAGAACAGTAATGAAAGTCAGAATAGCCTTTGAAAAGCCTATCAAGAATATTTGGACGGTTCAACATGACTGATCTCTTTCCCCCATCTTGATACCCTCTACTTGGGGTGGCCATTGGATATATTAGAAACTCCACCAACGTTACATCTCTCTATTTATCCGGTTGAAATCAATAAGTTTAACTTTTATTTTTCATACATTGTGTAATTCGATGTTGGGTTATTATCGAACGTCTCCCTGTGCTAAAGGTGTACCAAGGCATACATACGTTTTCAGAATTGTTACGCAGACTCGAGCCAAAATATTGGAGGTTACCATGGAATGGTTGACGGCTGCGTTAAGCCACATTTCATGAAATTTTCCTTAAACATGAAAAACATGCACCTGTCTGGTAAGTTGTGTACAAACGTGCAGTGGGGACGGCAACGACGATGATGATGATACGAAGAGACGGCGCCTACCCTACAATTCCATAAATTGTTGAATTGACACTAAACAATCGAATTTGAATGCTTTAAAGCCAGATCCGTCATCAGCGTCTCGAGTAGTACTTTTGTATGAAATTTGCACCAATTCTAAACGTTGATCACTTGTGCTCAAACACAAAGTAATGTAAATTTTTTGGAGGGTCTAAAACACTTTTTTATCTGGAAAGTGAAAAGAAACGTACTGAAATGTTAAAGTAAGTCTTTATTCGTGGTAAAACATATAAAGACGTGATTTAAAACTTACAGATATAACGTTTGGCAAATATTCTAAATGTGTTTTAATAATTATAGGAGCACCCTAAAGCAGGGTGGCATTTATCACTAACCTTTGATCTTGACGTTCTTCCTGTCATGACCAAAATACGTTCCGTGACTATTCTAGACCGAGGCCGATCAGGTGTGGAATTGTGAACGCTATCTTACAAACACTCATAACTTGTGTAGCTACAAACATGAAAGACAACCCATTAAATAAACAGGACAGGATTCCGCGGCAAGGAATGAATGGAGACGGAAGCGTGTGTGTGTGTGTGTGTGAAAAAAATCATAGACGTAAGTTAGAGTGTGGGTGTATGCATGCAAGTGTCTGTTTATGCTTGCTATGGTTATTGTGATACGGATGTCGATACCAGAAAGTGAAATTTTTTTCCGCGTCCTTCCATTAACATGGCAAGAGAGAGGTAGAGAATACTTGACAGACGCGTTTGGTGTCTATCAGTTCGTTTACATAGATATCGGTGACACTGATAATGTCTGTTGTTGTTATCTTGTTACCCTCAAGCGACCACACTATGCCTACTGAGGAGCACACACTCAGTGACATAACTAATCACCCACTCCCCGATTTAACCATATGTAACTTATCACCTCTGTTCATTGTATATTTTCAGCTTTCGGGCTGCCATGTTTTCTTAATAAACCGTTAATTATTATTATTTTTATTATTATTATTATTATTATTATTATTATTATTATCATTATTATTATTATTATTATTTCCGTCTTTACTTCTATGTGACAACGATTGATATTCAAACATGCGCGGAAGTCCTCTTTTTCATTTATGTTTTTTAAAACCAGAAATTTTGTAATGGTGTTAAGTAACAGTCAGCATTGCGACACGACAGCAAATGTGAGGGACACTCAAACAGGACGTGTGACTCACTCACTGCTACTCACTAGCCTAGTCATGGGATATTCCTAGATTTCCTGTAATACGCTCCTGTGAGTTGAATGAATTACCATTATAGTTGTCAGAAATTTTCTAGATTCAACTACTGTATTATTATTATTTCACCGAGTTCACGATCACACACGGTATGGCATCGACATTTTGATGGTCACACGGAAAAAAACACAAACTAGGAAGAGTGATTCACTGATGAGGAAGATGGACTGCGTGTTGTGGGGTGGTGTCACTAATTCAGTCATTTCTCAGTCACTCTACCGCTCACTCTGTCTTTCGTACTCTTGTATAATGTCGTTATCGCTACCCAATACACAGTCCCACTCTTCACCATTTACTCTGGTCTTTCCTTCACTTCTGACACTTCTTTTATACGTATGTCGTCTATTCCTTGATTTGCGTATTCTTTTTATCTACTGTACTCTTCACTCTGTTCCTTTTCTTAGCCACAAACCCGCCACTATGACCATTTCTCCTCAGTTGCTCCCATTACCTCAGCAATTGCTGTCCCCACTCCCGGGCACAACGCCAGTAACACACCTCCCGCTTGGTACTGACACTGTGGCCTGAGAGAGACAACTTTAGCACCCTCACTCAAACGATCCACCCGCCAAACTCATTCAAGACGCTCCGCCCACCTGACCGTCAATGACAAACCTTATCTCATTGAGTTCGCGTAGAAAACTGAGTGAAGTGTACTGTACGAAGTAGGTATAAGACATCCATCAAATAGGGAGGTACTAGCCTCCTGGGAGGTAGTAGATAATGACGAAAATTACGATGTTATTTACTTAGACTTTAGCAAAGCATTTGACAGAGTACCGCATCAGAGGCTTCTGAGAAAAATTAAGGCTCATGGTATCGAGGGGAAAGTTTTAAATTGGATAAAATCATGGCTCACCGATAGAACGCAGAGGGTCGGCGTAGATGGTGTTAGATCTGAGTGGGGCTGTGTAATCAGTGGGGTTCCTCAGGGGTCAGTACTAGGCCCACTCTTGTTCATAATCTACATAAACGATCTAGATACTGGGATCAGCAGTGACATAAGCAAGTTTGCGGATGACACCAAAATAGGGCAGCAAATTAATTCAACACCAGCAAGTGCAGCGTACTTAATATTGGAAGAACAAATACTTATAATGTATACAGCCTTAACAACATCAACCTAGAGAAGTCGACTTGTGAAAGAGACCTAGGAGTACTAGTAAGCCCGGACCTACGGCCTAGAAAACAGTGCGTTAATGTTCGAAATAAGGCAAACAGAGTATTGGGTTTTATATCTAGAAGCGTAAGTAACAAGAGTGCAGAGGTCTTATTGCAACTATATCTTGCGCTAGTCAGGCCACACCTCGATTATGCGGTTCAGTTCTGGTGCCCCTATTATAGAATGGATATAAATTCACTAGAGTCGGTGCAGCGAAGAATGACAAAAATGATTCCGGGACTTAGAAACCTTCCATATCAGGATAGGCTAAAGAAACTTAACTTGCATTCCCTAGAAAGACGAAGAGTGCGGGGAGATATGATAGAAGTATTTAAGTGGGTGAAAGGAATCAATAAAGGGGATATAGATAAAGTTCTTATAATATCCGAGCAGGATAGGACTCGGAGCAACGGATTCAAGTTGGATAAGTTTAGGTTTAGGAGGGAGATAGGAAGAAACTGGTTCACAAATAGGGTGGTGGACGAGTGGAACAAGCTTAGCAACTTTGTAGTAAGTGCGGGAACTCTGGAAAGTTTCAAAAGGAGGCTAGATAGATTCATGGATGATAGAGAGTGGTAGTAACTCTCGACAGGAGCTGCCATACACAGGCCAACCGGCCTATTGCAGACTCCTTATTTTCTTATGTTCTTATGTTAACTACTACTACTTTGCTGTCACTCGGAATCGAGTATGACGAGAATGCAACTACTACTATTACTATTATATATTTTTTTTAGAATGGCCTCCATCCTCCCCTTATAGCCATACCTTCGCCACCATTTAATACCTTAAAATTAAATATCCTAATACTTAAGTAGCTATCCTAGCTGTGTTGAGTTAGTTGAGCAGTAGATCTATGCGCCATTCAATGACTGTTGCCTCATAGTCAATATCTGCAACTGTTGTCGACTTTGGAGCCGATGCTCTCGTTCCCCTAAGGCAGAGCAAATCCGACCTAAGGAGAGAGAAGGACAGTCGACATCTCATCCAGGCTGTAACATAACTTCTGGGCCGCTGCTTCTGTTCGGATAACACCTCCGCGAGTCTGGCGTAGAAGAATCTTGCACTTGGTCCCATCCCACCAGAGGTTGTGAACACTAGAGGAGTGAAGCTGCCTTGATCAACGTTCTGAATTCTCTTCCCATATTCCCTTATCTTGTCATTCTCGTTCCTCCCGTGTGCAGCATCAAGAGCTAAGTTACGATGACATGCGGCCATGGGATAAAAAATCCTGATGTTGAAGAAGGCTCGCTGTCCCTGCATTCAGAATCCTTGAGCACTGACGTCCACACGGGCTTCGTTGGTGTGTTTGAAGTCCTATGTTGGAAATTCTCACCGGCCAATGGAAGGAGGATCGGTTCTATCCTGACATCACGGCAGATTTCCTTCAACATATTTGTTGCTAGAATCCTGACTTCGTCATGCCTCATGCATATGAAGCCCCCTTTCTTGCACACCATGGCGTGATCGACGTCATGGGAAGACCCACACACACATTGGGAGGGCAAACCTTCTACTGGCCTACTGTACCTTAGAGCAATGGCATCTGTAAATTCTTGTTTATTGAGACTGAAACCATTTGCCCTTATTGGTAACGTAGTTAACCAGTTTGAGGCGCCTACCTCCTGCGCTATAGCTACTCTTTTTTTCAAAATTTCTGGTACTTGCAGCAACAGTTGCTGCAACTTATCACTTTGGCTGTGCTGTCGTTCTTTCGTAATGGACCTTCGAATCTTGTTTACTTCACTGGTATCCACCTCCCCTGCTGCGTTCTGAGCTATTATGTGGTCCGTGAGGGCTGCCATGATCTTAACTGAGTTTTGATGTTCGGTGGCAGCAATCTCCTCTGGATTGGTCAATCCCATTCCTCCCAGTCTCGGTGGTAGTGCAAGGAGTGATTTTTCTGCTGGGGCTAAGTGGGGTGTTTCACTAATTTGGGAATGAAATTGACGCTGATAGCTTCTTCCAGAGGGTAGAGGAGGGGTCCGATATCAGGGATAGTGCGAATCAGGTAGTTCCAGCGATGCTTGACTCCATGAGTGAATGCTGCAAAAGCCGTATGTGGCTCTGTGTTAGCAATCTCAGACAGAGCTTGGATTTCCCTAACCCACTCATTCACCTTTCCCGTTACGTACTCGGTTTTGAAGTCCGTCGTGCTGATTACTGCGCCTAGGTGTCTTTGGCCATCTTTTGTTATTTTGACATTAACTTCCACCGAACACCTCCATTGCCCGTTCATAATGTTCTGGCTTCACAATGAGGAAGGACTTGCTGGCGTTTGGGTGGTACCCTATTTGTGGGCCTCGTGATGTTACCAGGTCCCACCACTTTTTGATGTCCCCCACTTTTCCAGCTCCTGTAAGGTCATCAGCGTACGCCACTTGCCTGACCTAAGTTGTTTCAAATTGTATTTTGTGTTGGAGCACGGATAGGCCTATTATCATTATTACTACTACTACTTTTTTCTTACTCCTACTACTACCACTATTAAAAAACAGTTTAATGTGACATTCAACTTGGTTACCTATTACAGGCTTTCAGTTATTGAGCACAGTATTGCGTCCTTGGTGGTATTCTATTATATTATTGAGAAATTTACCGTAATACAAATATCACATACACTTATCTATTTACATAAATATATTTATGAAACTGTTTTATTTTTTCCATATTTTGAGATAACCAGGATCATTACAACGTGTATATATATATATATATATATATATATATATATATATATATATATATATATATATATATATATATATATATATATATATATGGGGCAAACAACACCTATGGGGTCGAGATTTCACAAGTTGTACATCAGCTGAGGTAACCAATCCAGTATCGGCCGGTAACCAGCAAATAAGTAAGAGATAATAGGTTAAATAATCTTCTCACATCATTAGAGATAACAAGTATAGTACAGTAATCAACAGATACTACTCTACATTATTGTTGATAAGCTAGCTGTCCCCAGTTTTTGTTTTGTGGTTGTAATATTATTGCCCTTCAGTAACTAAGGTCTGTAAGCGCGCAATAAGGCTATTAAATACACTTGTCCATGAACGATGTAAAAATTATATGAGATAGAATTCTTTATATGTAAAAATCAAAAGTTGTGGTAAATAAATCAATTAATGAAAGCAAGAGTTTTGATCTGTGTTCAGTTATATACTATATAACCTAACAATAAACATCACTTTATACATAATGACTATCCTAACATTGATTTTCACAAACCTAATTTTAATTTCTACTTCACATCTTTTAAAAACAAAATATATAGTGGGGTTAATATTCGTTTTATCCCAATGGGTATGTCGTATTTTTTTTTTTACCATTGTCACTATGATTTTTATTTATTACTATTATTAATTTTTTTTTAGTTAAGGATCGATTTTCTTCTCTGGCTTTTCCGGCACAAATTTATATTTTTCGAGTATGTTAACCGATAGAATTACGAACAATATTAGTTGTTCAAAGTGGGCAGGAACTTGAAGTAGAGGGGAAATGTGGGGTAAAATACGAAAAAGAACACCAAGCAAACATTTAAAAACCTTTCCTAACCTTATCTAATCTATAAAAATCATAAGACTATAAAATTTAAACACTTACCCTACTCTTGTTTTCGGTGTTTATGTTTTGGTGTATTTTTCGGTGTTCAGAAGAGAAACTTGAACTCGAAAGCTATTTTTTTAACCTTTTTATAGATTAGGAAAGTTAGATAAGAGATTTTTAAATGTTTGTTTGGTGTTCTTTTTAGTATTTTACCTCACATTTTCCCTCAACTTCAAAACCCTGCCCATTTTGTTGCTAATTGGGGAGGTCTTATCTAAAAAAAAAAATAATGTAAATGCCAAAGAAGAAAATCGACTCCCAACTAAAAAGAATCCTAGTGATAATGGTAAAAAAAATCCGAAATACCTACTGGGAAAAAAACGAATTTTAACCTATAATTGTCTAGCACGAATTGGGGTAACAAGCAGAAACATAAATACTCATAATTACTACACATGTATGGACGAAACTGGGGAGTAAAAATATTAACTCTAATATGAAAGCAAGTGAGTCAAGATTATTTTTATATATCATCTCTAACTTTACATTTAACTTCCCTTTATGAGACGTAGATTACATATGAATTCAATAGTGGATAAAAAAATATTATTATATATTACCTATCCAATTATTAGATAAATAAGTCAATAAATTAAAAATAATATTAAATAACTAATACCTTTTTTTATTGATTATTTAAAAATATTCTGTCATTTAGGTTTTATATATATTATTTTCCTACATGCAATTCCTAAATGTTTGTTAATGTTTACGCGGGGTCTTGGGAGATTCAACCAGTTAGTGATTAAATTGGTGATATATGATCTTCTTGGCTGTGACAGTGAGATGAAACACATAGATAGACGTTTCTAAAGATTCTGAAGTAAAATGAAAGAAAAGTATGTTGGTTTTGTTGTTTCTTTAATGTGTAGATAGTTTACCAGGTGGACCCCAGTAAAGAAAGTTCCCGACATTGGTAAGCTTTTAGGAAGGGGTTTGGCATTATACCAGTAATGTATTTAAGCTTAACCTAATCCAATGTTTTCCAGCGGATTCAGTGATTATATGATGAATATGTACGTCCTGTTTGGTTCCTAATGAGATCAACACTAGCTGCAATGATGCTGAGTAGGAATTTGTATGTATGTAGTTATATTGCTGAAGAGGCTTAGCTGTGAGCCTTGAGTTGTATCACCTCTATCCAGGACGTCGTGTGTGAGTTTGTGTATTAAAGGTTACCCTGTGCTTACATTCTTAATAATGAGTTGGGTAAACTCTAGAGGAATTTCATCACCATATTAGTTCAACTCGCAAGAAATGATGGTAATAATTTAGGCACCGGATATAGGTACGGCAGCCGTATGTTTAACGTCGATGTTTATTCACACGACAGCCTAATACGCATGCATGGTGGGCAGACTATACAATGACAATAACTAAGATGGCCTTCCTTCTGACTAATCTAACCTGACCTAACAGCTGACGTACTTATGTCCAGTGCTATTTTTGGCGTACTGTTGCAGTATCTGTATCCTCTATGAGTAGTTTATCATCATCGAATATAGTTACATAAACTCTCTAAATCTGCTGCTGCTGTCGCTGTTGTTTATTTGGGAGTATTTTTTTTTTTTTACGGGGATTAGCCCACCCGGGCACAGGTCACTGACCCACATCAGGGCCCGGGGGGCGAAAATGTATTAGGAATAATAATTCATAGTAAATAAAATTTATAATAAAAAGTAAAATAAAATATTAATGGTAATAATAATAAAAACAACACTGTGATAATAATAAATTCAAAGAAATGCAAGAATGAAAAAAAATCAACAGTGAGAAACGCTATATACGTATGTTGTTTTGTCATGTAATAGAAACAATTGAGACCCTACAATTGTGTGTAAATGAGGCAGAAAGTCAGATCAGCAACCTGGGACTTGGTCACAATTTTCGTGATGCCATATGGCAGCAGAGTCTACCATTAGACAACACATAATGCTGCTAATATCTTCCCAGGCGGTAGTACCTCCCTGTTCGGTAGCTGCCTACTACCTACTCCCAGAGTTAGTATTGTCTATGAAGCATTTGGACTCTTGCTCACGTAAACAAATATGTCATCCCCTCAAGCAGGAAAGTGTCATCATCTGGTAAAAATACGGTAGAGTACATAATTGGAAAAAATTACTAACAAAAATAGGTTTTTCTTATGTTTTTGATGGTGATGTAAAAGAATATGACCTATATTCTTGGCACTGATATATTATTTATGAAGATATGACCCACTAGCAACAATAATGCTGTGCACAAGTGAGCAGGGCTTTGAAGACGAGGGAAATTATGGGGTAAAGACACCAATCAACCCTTTGTCAACCTGACCTAGCCTCTCCTAACCCCAAATATGTCCTAATTCTACAAAAGCTTAACTTATTTAACCAATGGAGGAGGATAAAGTGAAGACACTTGTAGCGGGAAATGATGAAGACTCGTGTTGTGGTTGTTATGTGCTGCATGGAACATATATCTTGTGAAGTATTGTCAATAATGTTTATTTTTATTTCCTGAACTAAGTACTGTACCGTAAGATAAAATTTGGAAAAAGGTTGGGGAGGTGACAGCTTGTAGACAGTGCCACTAAGAGAGCTCAAACTCTCAATTGGATCAGCCATGTCAATATTGTTATTAGTGTCGACTCTGTATCTGTATTTTTCTGGCCAAATGAACTGTTTCAATACCAATATCAACAGCAAACAAAGTTTTCTTGGTAACAAACTATGTAATTTTCATATGTGAGTATCATTTGCTAATTTAAAGTGTAAGTAATAAATAGAAGCTAATAATCAAAATCCATTTTTTCCAAAAATTTCAGAGAAGGCCCTTATGTACGTAGATCTACGAATTTGACTATTGGTGGGTTAAGGGTGCAAAACAGTACCGGCAACCAGTGCTTAGTATAACTATGCTCCCAAGTAGGCAGTACCTGTACTAGGAAACACGGTGCAGAGTAGAGGGATAGGTACCAGCCAATTTCAGACTTGGACCCACTGGTATTCACGCTTTTTTGCTCATTAGCTGTTTCACCTTTGTTCATGTTTGATCATTTCAGTTTCCTTTCTGACATTTACTTCACATGCTTTGTTTTGGAAGGTGCAATATAGACCCTGCTGGTGATACTGTATATCTTTTTAGTGACTTTCTGTGGTGCTATCCAAATTATTAGCTGTTATAGATACACTTAGCACAGCTGCAGCCATTGTAACTGATGCTTTGATTACAAAATGACCCAAATTTTAACTGATGCAGCATGTCAGTACAGTGTCAGCAGCAAACGAGTGAAGTTTCTAGTACAATGCATCTGGATTTTCGAATATCCAGATATAGAACTTTTTTTAATTATCCACTTCAATTTTTTTTAAGGATTTTACTGTGATAACAAAGAAGAAAATATGTAGTTTATCTTTAAGCAGGAAATACCTTGATTGAATATGGGCATAAAATCGTACACAGTTCTTAAAATTTATATTTCTTCTTATTTTATGTAATACAGGGGTATTCATTTCTTTTTTTTTCAGAATAAGCAACGATTTGTCATACATAAAAGCAGGCTACCGTAGTGACAAGTGGAAATGGGTGCTCAATTTACCAGAGGTGGACACTCAGATGCAAATCAGCATTTTGAAAGAACCTGGACCTCCTGAGTCATGTGTTGCAGAAGGGAAGCAAGATGTCCCACAGGATAACATTGATATTGAGAAGGATGCTGCAGCCAGCAGTGTTCTATCTGAGACAAGTGATGTACCAATACTTCAGAAAAAAGAAACCCCACAGAGTTTTCTGTCTTCTGATAAACTGTTCTCAGAGGATCATCTTACAAAAGAAAACATCCTAAAAACTTTTGGGCTGGACAAGCGCCCAAAGAATCTTCCTTGCCAGTATGTCAACTTGACAATTTTAGTCATATTATTGAATATATATGTACTGTACATTGTTGCTTATCTGATTAAGTGCAAATCTTTAAAGACATGAATTTATTTTGGCTTTTGAAACATTTTTAGTCTCTGCCTTGGTTTTTAAGTTTGTGTTTAATATAAGATTGACCACTCTTATATACTTGGTTGTAATGTGTTGTTGAATTTTCAGAAAAAGATGTTCGAGTAATCCTTGGTGCTTAGCAGATCTGAGGAGTGGAATAGGGAAAGAGAAGATTCGTCCCACAGATCAACCACGAGATCCAAACAAACCAGTTGGCTTACAGAATACAGCAAATACCTGTTGGATTAACTCAGCTCTTCAAGCCCTGTTTCAGCTTCCAAAGTTTAGGTATTAAAATTGAAGTGTGTTAATGGAGTTTTATGCCTTTGTAAATTTGAAGATACTGTACAGTACTGTAATTAATTTTGAATTTGCTCTGAGAAATCATTTATAAAATTGTGTCACATTCTATATTATATGAAGTAAAAAAAATAATGCAATTCACAAATATTTATGCATTTTAGTCCAGATCTTTTTGGTTCTGTATATTGGTCTTATAAATAGAATTCATATATTCTTTTATTTTAGGAATGTCATCAATAATGTTGAAGGATTTACTGGAGAGGAAAGTCTGTCTTGTATGCTGTACCTCCTTCAGGCCATGTTCGTTGAGATGGACACCCATGCCAATAGGTACGCTTTCTATAAATAGATACAGTTTAGCTGTTATAGACTTGGCTCCCTCCTTGTACCCTAGCCCTTGTGCATTGATCATGAGAATAGGCATACACTCAGGTGAAGTAATCCACTAATTACTTAAACGTCACCCATGAATTAGCTGACCACTGCCACCCATGCTCTGACATATTTATCTCTTTGCTCTCCTTTTTACCTTGTTTTTCTATTATTTGGTTAAATTATGGTTGTAATAATGCTAAGAAATTATGTTTAACCCCTTTTTTTGTGTGTGTGTAAGTCCCATCTTATCAGAATATGCAAGCACATACAAGTTGCAAATTATAATTTACAGTACCTGTATATCTTTCTGTACAGTACTTTGAGAAGTTATTAAGAATTTTGCTGAATGTCTCTCAGGAAGCAGAATCATTTAACAGAGTCAATAGCTGTCTTTATGTACAGTAGCTAAAATTGTATCTGTGCATACTCTGTGTGAAACAATATGAGACGATAGGTATTGGGATATGTGTGTTGTCTCCTTATACTATGTGATAGTAATCATTTAACCATTTATTTTATTCCTATATGTCAACTCAGCCCTTGTGTTGGATACTGCATGGCGGTGGGTGAAGACACGCATACAAACCCTCCCGAGACATCACGAGTTATAATTTTGGAAGTCATCAGACTCACCTTGTCAGATACTTTTTTTAGCTACTGTACATGTCATTGTCACACACAAATTCATAATACACAAAGGTATAAGGAAATTAATGAAAATATCTTAAAAAACAATTTTGTAAGTATTAATTACGTTTTGTAAACAAACAGAGGCTGCGACCATTGTAAAACTGATCATTAGCCATTGCATAGTGGTAAATGGTGTTAATTTTTTTACATCATAAAACTGATCGAGCGCATATTGAGTATTCATAAAGGGCACAAAATGCAATGTGTTGGGAACGAAAATGCGAGACAGTTAAGTGTGTGTTATGTATTACAATGCATTAAATGAAGTTATGTGGTGATGAACAATATTGTAAAAATTTTTGGACATTTGTTTTACGAGTTGGCAGTGCATGGTTCCTTGCCCCCCATTTAAATCCAGCCAATTAATGTTTCTTCCTATATTGCCTCTCAGTGTTTTCTCTTATATCATGGTACAGTGATATCTCCATTAGCCTGAACAATTGGTGCAGAGTACTTCTGGGTATGAGAGATTTCCGGGTAACGAGACGACACTCTCTCAAAGCTGGAAAGAAATCCCTCATCCCCGGAATTTTCCGGGTAACGGAAAAATGTTCTCGGAAGTTCCAGAAAAAACCCATTACATCTTCTCTCAAACCCGGAAAAATTTCCCTCATCCCTGGAATTTTCTGGATTTTCCGTGTAATGGAAAAATGTTCTCAGAAGTTCCAGAAATTGGCCATTACATCATCTCTCGAACCCGGAAAAATATACCCCATCCCCGGAATTTTCCGGGTATCGGTAAAATTTTAACATAATTTTCCAGAAAAATGTGCCCCTTGGAAAATTTTGATTCCGACGATCGGAGAATTCCGGGTTTGAGGGATTCCGGCTAACGGTGATATTACTGTATACAATAAGAATTGAGTGGTTATGCTGTTTTGTTTGTTTTATGTGTAATCAAAGGAAATTTTACCCAAAGTTGAGTGTAAGGATTTATTATATTTCGAATTCACTTTTACCACCATGTTTAGCCTTCATGTCAGCGTGCAAGCTTCTCGCTTTTTCCTGAATCAAGGCTAAACTTAAAGGAAGATGCCAATGATTTTGAGCTTCCACCCATATCACTAACAATCTTTCTATTTCAATTAACAATCAACTTCTTTGTTTTGTTATCACAGTTAACATGTTCAAGAATTTTCTCTTTGTCTTTCAAAATTGTTCCAACCATTGACTGGCTGAAGCCCAACACCTTACCGATCACTGGCAGTGTTTCGCCTTTTTCAGAACGTTTAATTACATCAACTTTCACTTCCATTGTACGTAATTGTTTTCCTTTTTTTGGATGCATTACCATCACTTGCATCAGGTTTGTGTTTGGGAGTCATGATGGGGACCAAAAAAGAGAGTTAATAAGCAAAAACGACATTTTGTGCTGGATCACGCACGGTAAGGCAGCGAGGATAAAGTTTATTGATGTTCCCTCTACCTCAAGGCTCGTGACTGGGTGCGATGCCTCACTCCCCACGATCCGCTCTGCCTCTCCTCTACACCGCGCAAACTAGTTCTCATACTTAACTGCTACGAACCATTGTGGTACTTATGTCGGATATTTCAAATAATTGACCTTATGGGACCTCGTTCGTATCGGTGGGCATTTGTAAGTCAGGGATCCCCTGTACTCTCTTTCTAGACCAATTATGTTCCTGAGCTCATTTTAACACCTCATACCTGGCCAGTTCCACTAATTATACTCCAGTTTTGTATGATCATGTTTTTTTTTTATCTTAACAGATATTATTTATTTCTTGGTTATTAGTTACATTGTTACAGGATATCACTAAAGAACTGTACAGTATAGGAGCATACAGGATTTCAGTTAACATTCTTCCTTGTACAGTTGAGAACTCTTTTTATTAGGTGCATATCTGCCAAGTCCTTGTGGTATTGGTAATAATGCCACTTCTTTTTTTGAGCTGCTTATTATTAACAGGATCTGGCTGTTAGAGAGTTTCAAAATAGAAATTAAGGATTACGTAAGAAATCCTATCTTCTAGCTATGGTATGCCTTTAGCTGAGTTGATTAAAAACTTGTACCTGAATTACTTGTTCCTCTTTGGGCTTATGGGTACTCAACTTTAAGGTACAGTATACTGTACTGACTCTGAAGTCAAGATGATCCATTGCTGGTGCACAATACTGTACTATATATTGGCTTGGAAGATACAGCTGTCTTTTAAACATCCTGCTTCCAGTGCACCCTTCTAAGGGAGATAGGAGTGTCAACTAAGATCAGCACCCTGCTGCCAATTTTAATGCTCTGCTGTCTGAGACCTTCTAAAATAACTTATGCATTTAACATTGACACCTGGCTCAGAACATAACTAAAAAATGAGATTTCTTGATCAGTCATCCATATTGACTTTCTTGTCCAATGGTTGAATCATGTCCAGGGACCGTCATCTGGTTCAAACTTACTTAATACAGTATTTAAATTTTTCTGTTTCCTTTGAATATTATTTTCACATTACATAATAATAATTGAAATTCATATATGATTACCCTTGCAGAGCTATAGCATGTAGCCCAGGAAGCGTGTTTGAAAGAATGGGACTATTTGCAACTCAAGAGATAATGCGAAAGGATGCAGACCATGAAGTACTGAAATGTGTATCAGAGTTTTTAGAGAACACCATTGACATACTGATAGCTGATGCTAGACTAGGGTCAGAGCTCAGTCCCCTTTTCAATACAAGCCTAATGAGGTTTGCAAGGTAAGCAGTTGATTTGTCAGTAAATTTTCCTTATTGTTTTTTATATATTATTTGGTTTAGAAGTGATTACAATATTTTCCCTTAGAAATTGTATTAATAAAATTGATCAATAAGTGTTAAAAACATGTTTTGACAAATCCATTGTTGCATTACTACAGGAGAAGGAAATAATTGTTTGTACTCTGATGATTTTTGCCTTCAGTTACATTGGCGTTGTAACCCCACTAATTGTCCGCTCACTTGAAGCTTGCAACTGAGGTCTAGGGTCAGTTTGTAGCTAGGCATCTGGTTGGTTGGTGGACAAACACCCGAAGAATCACTACAGTTCTTTAGTATTTAATACACTGCACTGTATCATATTTATACAGTATTATGATATTTTATGGGATACTAACTTTTCTTTATTGATCTCTTATAATTTCCACACTAGAAGAAGCAAAAATTAGCATGTGAAATGATCTGGTAACATAAATATCTCGAAGAGAAGAAGAAAAAGTGTAAAAAATTTTGGCGACATCCTCCACACAGCACGTAACACGTCACGTGGTGAGGAGGAGTTTATGTCACATAAATTGTTCATCATGATTGTGTTCTTTTGATGACACTTTTATTACCAGAGCATTTCACATGCAAATTTGTTTCCCCAAGTACGTAAATTGTCAGGGGTCAACATAGAAATGTTATCCCTTAAAATATCATAATACAAATGCGATAGATTAAATACTAATAAACTGTAGGGCTCTTTGGGTGTCCATCTACCAACCAATCAGCTGCCTTGCTACAAACTGACCCTAGACCTCAGTTGCAAACTTCAAGAGAACAGACTAGTATATACTAGTGTGATATATAGTACACTGTCACTTTCCATTTTTGGTTTGCAGGTTGTATTTTCCCAGTTCTCTGTTTTATTATTACTAGCTGGGTATCTGACATTGCCAAGTTTTGTATTTGATGAAGTAAATAAACATAAGCATTAAACACAACAAATTTCAGTGGGGTTGACCCCTCCAGATTACTCCTTCAGTTACATGTCCATAACAAATTTCAACTCTTTAAGTTAAAAAAAGGGTAAGGGAAACATAAATACACTAATAAAGAGGGTGGGCATCTCACAGTCCATGCCCATCCTTGGCCAATATTAAATGTATTGCACTGTACAGTACATGCAAAGGATATTTATACCAGATTTTAGTTCTCTGTGTTGAAAACTGTGGTGGTACATTTCAAAAAAGTAAAAACCTGGTCTTAAATATGATTCTTAGTTGTCACACCATGGGCTTTTTGTCCCCTTGTTATGGTCTAAGGCAGTCGTCTTGCCTTGTTTCTTACACCCTGCTATTTCCGATTTACAGAACGGTTCACCTCTCATTTACATTACTGTTTTATTGTCTGTTTCATTTAATTTTCAGATACTGTACGTAAATAATTACCTGGTGTTATTATTTTCCTTCCACAAAACAAAATTTTTGCATATACGTACAGGGTATGCATTTCATTATGATCTAAAATCAAGTTTTGCTATTAGTTCCTCCAAATTTGGACACAGGCTGACCTCTCGTAATTTAGATGTTTGTGAACATTCTTGAGTCTATATACATAAGCAAACTAAATTTCAGTTCAATATCTTAAAAACTGTGGTCATGCATTGAAAAGAAACAAAAAAATATAGGTGTATTTAATGAAGTCCAACCATCAAAATTCTGCTTCCTGTCACTTATAGGGCATGCACATTTACCAAATTTTAGCTCTCATCTTCAAAAGTGTGGCTGTGCACAGTAAACAGACAGACAAACAAACAAACAGACACACCCTAACTGTGATGGTGAAGAGAGCCAGGGGTAGGTCATGACATGGGGAGAAATTGTAAGAAATAACATTAGAGACAAGAGAGACTGCTTAGATTCTATGCAACATTGAAAGCTGCTATCAGATAATCATGACGAACCCATGCAAGTGTGGAATATGAAAAATGAAGATTTAATCTGTCTCAGTGTGCTGATGAATTTATGCCCAATGTCCTGGTAAGGCCCAGTTTCATTGTAAAGTGAAAACATAATGTTGTTATTAATGTGCTAATAAGTATGGAATCTGTAAAGAGTTGGGGCTCATTGGATCCCATGTCCTAATGAAGTTTTATGTTTTGTGAATACAGTGGTCCTTCGGTTAATGAACACAATTCGTTCCACAGAGTCGTTCGTTAACCAAAAATTTCGTTAACCGAATCCATCATTTCAATGGGATATTGGTTAATTGGTTCTAGCTCACAGAAAAGTACAACAAAGTATAAACAAATTGCAGTGAAGTACACTTACTTTGAGGTGTGTATGTAGAATGTTGCTGGTTGATGATGATGATGGGAATTAGAAGTGGGGGGTGGAGGAGAAGGGAGAAGAGAAGGAAGTGGGGATGGAGGAGAAGGGAGAAGAGAAGGAAGTGAGGATAGAGGAGAAATCACCTTTCTTTGAACCCATGCTTGATGCAGTAATTTCAACAATAAAATTTTAAGTTCACTAGCTGTAATTAAAGATTATTTTATTTAAATCAACACTGCACTGCGTTATATATTATCAATATGTTAACTAAATTTCAGAATGACCAGTAATTTTAATGTAAAAAACGTAAAAATAATCTGTATTCAAGAGAGCGACAAACATGATGTTTCCTTCACTTTAAACAAAGTTAAACTGACTCTTTGGCGGGTGAGTCAAGCGACTGATGGGTGCACAAAAAACTAGTTCCCTGTACTGCAGATATTATCAATATGTTAACTAAATTTTAAAATGACTAATAATTTTAATATAAAAAATGCATAAATATTAAAGAGCACAACCTTCTTGATATTTACTCCACTGGAAACGAATGTAAACATAGAACCGATTTCTGTATTGGCGGACTAGCCGATCAGCTGATGCTCACAACAAAACGTGTTTGTCGTAAGGATTTCGTTAATCGAAGTTTTTTTCGTTAACCGAATTGAAGATCCTTATGGGAGCTAATTCGTTAACCAATATTTCATTAATTGAACCGTTCGTTAACCGAGGGACCACTGTACTATTATTTTTTTATTACCAGGTGGAAGTGCCCTGTATGTGAAACAGAACATGAAAGCCATTTAGCGCCAGCTACTGCGTATACCATGGCAGCCTATGTGAGTGGCGATGAGTGCCCTCTTGATCAGTGCCTTGTGGACCTGCAGACTGAGACTCAGACAGGGGTATCATTGGTGTGTGGGACTGAGAGTAGTGGTCATGGAGGATGTGGAGCGAGGGTTAAGGCAGATCGTATTGTCACACCAAAGATTCAGAATTTGCCAACCATTCTAGTCATCAGGAATAACAGCCTTATGTAAGTAAAATTTTCATTTGTGTATCTAGCTCTTCAATGTACTATGAGAAATATGTGCATCTGAGACTGATGTAATTTGTATTTATGAGGTATATACATAAAATATTATCCTGTTGTTAGTTCTGCCCTTAAATTTAGATTTTATACCTGTGCATGCAGCATTAGGGAAATCTCAGGTATCTTGTATGTCATGCTTCATAATGCTTCAAACTGTGAATTTGGGTAACGAGGATGAGGAATATGCTGGGAGTACTGGGGTAGCTCTCACAAGCCATACATCCACCTATGTTGGATTGAAGTGATTCTTTATAATTATTATTACAGTATTATTATTATTATTATTATTATTATTATTATTATTATTATTATTATTATTATTATTTTATTATTATTTTATTATTATTATTATTATTACTACAGCTTTTGCCCCCAGGCCCCGATGTGGGTCAGTGACCTGTGCCCGGGTGGGCTAATCCCAGTAACAAAAAAAAAATAAAATAAATTAGTCCCCCCAATCCCTGAACTGTGATGGGGTAAATCAGTGGGTATTGAGCATGAGTTGCCATCCTTGTCTGCAAAGGGTTAATAAGATTTTAGGTTGGTAATAGACTGAAAACTTGTTCATCAGTATGAAAGAATCCATCTTTCTAGATATATAGTATGTGTACAGTACAGTACTTCAGTTTGAAACCATTCTTTAGCTTGTTTATAAGTTTTTAAGCACTTTCCTTCTCTGAACATCAACAGATATCTCAGGAGGGTTTTTGTATTTTTTTCATGTCTAATAACACAAACCTTAAAGGAAATTTACCCATGACAAATGTACAAATGTAGAAAAAGGTTTGATGGGAAAAAGATTTGTGCTCAGCTAAGTAGAGCAAAATATGTTATTCTTCCATTGGCTCCCCATTCATTCTTACATTTGTCTGTCCATCTGATTTTATATTTGTTTGTACGTTTCTAATTTATTTTTAACATAGCTATTCCTCCATTTTCAATCAGGTTGACTTCAAACTTGGAAATTAATTTATATATGTGCACATTGATTTGGTCAATATACTGTATGTCAAGATCTCAGCTTAAGGTCAAAATTCAAAACATTATTGGGAGCATAGTTATTGTGTCAGGCCAGATAAAAACAAAAACATTATGAGGGTATTTGTCATTACAAAATGCTGATGACAAATTAATTTCTCTGTCCAGGGTTAAGGTTACAGTTGGATTAAAGGTTAAAATTTTGTTTACATAACTCGGCATACAGGTTCCTGTGGATTGACTTTAAATTTTAAAACAGACTGTCCATTATGTGTAGATGTGCCTATTCATTACATTTTTTCATTCATTGAACATCAGAGTGGAAGTGGTATTTTTTTAAATTAACTGTAAATTTGAAGAATTCTGGTTATTGACAGAATATCAGACTTTTATGATAGAATGGATGAAAGCCAAGACACAGCTTTTGAGAACTTCTTTATGTGTGGGATATCCATCTTGTGGTGCAGTGGCACTACAGGTACCTGTATTTTGATATTGAGTTTGAATATGATGGAAACAGTTAGTGAGATAAGAGAGGTAAAATGTTTGGCAAAAAGAGTTTGATGATAAACTTTAGTGGTAAAGGCTTTTGGAATAGTCATGGCCCAAAAAAAATCATAGTCAAACTTTGATAACTCAGCAAACTTTTGATACCCAATGGCATACTTTTTATAGTTAAATGGACATGAAAGAGTTAGGCTACAGAAAAAATAAAAAACAACTGTACAAGCCTAGGTTTATACAGACAGCTAAGTAGAACTAAATAGCCTAGACCACAGAAAATACTATAAGTTAGTCAAAGGCAGTTGATCTGATAACTAGAACCCTCATCAAGAGATCTTGGTTTCCAGCCACGTTGACTCAGATTATTTTATTTTTAATATTTCCCGACTAAGACTGATTGTAGGCAATAAAAAGTTTTGGTGGCATTATTGGTCTTCTGTAAAAACGAGTCGATCATTTAGACTGTGTTTGGGAGATACATTGCAATAATTGTTTTATAATTTTGAATCTTTTTTCCTAATTTCCTCTGTACTTGCTTGATATAATTATTAATAAGTTACATTTACTCTTTATATAATCTAGGGATCGTGACCTGAAGCGGCGTCTGCATGTAGTGTACCCAGAGACCCTTGATCTGACTTCTCACACACTTAATCATGTAGCTGCGACGTACACACTCTCGGCTGTGATCTTTCATCATGGTCACTGGGTAAAACACTTCTCAGGTATGTGGAAATTAGAAGTAGTGTATATTACCCAGTAAGAATCCTGTAAAATGTGTGGGGTGAATAAGATAAAGAAAATAAGGAATGCAGAAATCAGAAACAGAAGTGGGAATCAATGAAGTGGTGGATAGAGAGCTGACCAGGGTTTGCTAGGATGATGTGGATATATTGAGAGAATGGGAAGGGAAAGATTTGTAAGAAGAGCGTATAATTCAGAGGTGGATGATAGGAGGGAGAGAGGAAGACCAAGTAGATGGAAGGATGGGTAAAAATACGTAGTTCCAGAAGTTAGGGCCATGGATATTCAAATGATAGGAGAGCATAAAATTGAGTGGCTTATGGGGATTTCACAGCAGCTAGAGTGAAAGGAGAGAGTATTTTTATTCTTGGTTGTGGGCACAGTTATAGCCTAGCAGTAGAAGGCTTCCAAGGATAAGGCATATATATATATATATAAAATCTCTCTTAGCAATCTTCTCCTAACTGGCATTTTATCAGCCTTTCCCATTTTCTTTAATTCCTGGCAATCTATTTAAACCAAATACATGTATCAATGTATGTTTCCTTGTCACCCATATTGGCAATTAAATCTCCCATCATTATCAATCAATTTTTTTATTAGAATCTTTCCTCCCTTCGCTTCTCATTCCCTTGCACATATACACTCAAAACACTCAATAACCCATGTTTTTAACCTGATCTATAGTACTGTATTTGAAGACTATCTCTGTTACATCCTGTTTTGTGTCTGAACTATTCATCACTTGTCAGGAATACCACATCCTCATTTGCTCTTACCCTAAATGATATTGTTATAGCGGGTAGATTTATACATTATTGTGGTTTTACAGCACATGTGAAGACTAAAGACAACAAATGGTACAACTTCAACGATGAGCAGGTCTCAGAGCTGTCAAATCGATCGACAGCAGGGAATCCTTCTGAGAGTCATCGCAACTACTTTAGTATTGGTAAGCTATGATAGTGGTAACTTCAGGAACCATAGTGTTTGCTGTTGATTGAGAATAATAATTTTGTACAGCTTTATTCAGTGAAATGCAAAATATGGGAGATACCTTAGTACATGATGTGCTTGTATTCTCGTATAAATATTTTGTACTTTTAACTGTTATTAATTACAGTATTCTTAGCGTCTCACTGAAGATACAAAATTTCCATTGTCTCTTTGTCAGTTCATTATTTGGTCAACCAACATATCTATGCAATGAAGTGGGTATATATTTTTTTAGGAAATTTTATACTTACAGAATAATTAGGTAAGGGAAGGGAAGGGTTAATGGGAGACTGAATGACCAGATATAAGATAAAAGTGTAAGGACAGGTTAAATCATGACTTTGGAAGAGTGGAACACATTATTAGCACAGAGGATAAAGAACTAGGTGAACTGATTACAAAAAAAGGTAATATATTTGCTATAGTGAAGAATATAAGAAGGAAAAGTGAGAAAACAGTTTGATGGAAAGAATGAAGTTAAAAAGTATATGGAAAAGAGAGAATGAAAAGGAGGAAGCAGTAAAAAACGTTAAGGGATTTATTGTGTGAGAATATAAAAAGTTGTGATAGTGGAAGGAAGGTAATTGTAACGAGGGACATTACTGTAGTATGACCAGGCTCTGGGTTGTCCATGTTCTCCCAGTGGTACTTATACCCAAGAATAAGATGATAAAGGAGAGGCAGTTGTGCTCTGTGTGAAAGGAGTAGGAATGTTTTAGGATCAACAGTTGAGGGTGATCAATCTTTTACAGCTTGGACTGAATGGACTGGTGATTACATAATTTATAGTATTTCTGATGTCCATTATCATGAAATTTTTTTATATACGTAATTGAAAAATGCTTTCATGCATTTCTTGTGTACAGTACTGTATCATTGTTAGTGCTATATCTGATAGGCAATAATATATCACTCATAGGTAAGAATAGTGCTGTCGCAAAGGCATCTCCATTGGAACCATATTATACTGTATTAATGTTTTATGAATCACCTGAGAACAACAACTATTTAATTTTTACTATATTGCAGCAAATGTGGCTAACAAGTACAAGCATCGCTCAGGACTAAGAGTGTCACGAGGCGCATTCGTTTGGATATATGTGCGGAATAATACTTCAGAAGAAGTAACACCTGTGCCACCTCCTGAATCTGTAGTTGAATATGTGTTACGTAAACAGGAGGAAGGCATGGTAAGTGAATGGATCATCATCATTGTTTTAAAGCCATTTTCTATGCTTTGTACAGTAAAAAAAAAGTTGCATCATTCTCACTGTATAATATGTTATGCTCTGAAACCCACAATGAAGAATTTGATTCTTTGGGGAAGTTTTCCCATCAGCGACAGTGAGCTACAAGATTCAAGTCTGAACCACCGGAATTAGTCTCTTTGTTTACCAACAAATGGTGTGCATGCCGGAGTGTACACTTTGTACCATATTCAGAGTTGGAATAGTCAGTCATTTAGCAATGCGATCAAGTGTGGTTGCAGAACAATTGAGAGAGAAGATATTAATTCCTCAGAGTTTGATTCCTAATAATCTGTAAATTATTTGTAAATCATCACTTACCGGTATTAGAGTTCGCCAGCAAGATATCACTAGAGGTTATCAATACTGCCTAGTCACTGGCAGATCAGGAGGCTAGATGGGGGCTGGTGGGATGGGTGCTTCACCAACTGATTGGCATACATATGTTGATATTATGTAATTGCAGTATAGTCTTCATTTACGCGGTCAATTGAACCCGTGGAGGTCCGCGTAAATCGAGAAACGCGTAAACGAATTAACAGAACATATGGGATTAATTGAAATAGAGACTGTGCCGACCCCCAAACTATACTTTTTCCGACAATAGTACGTTGTAGTAAAAATAACATCTGAATTTTATGATGGTATGCACACAATTAATATTTAAGAGAAATATCAATAATATTAGGTTTTTTAACACTTACGTTAGTAGAAAAGATGGCTGGGCACATGGGGATGGGGGGTTGGTTCCGAGGCAGAGGGCAGATTATTGACCCTCACCTGCATCACTTGTATCAATTGTATCACTATCCACCACAGAGGCTTGCAGGGCCTCCCTGTCAAACCCCTCAAAGTCCATATCCTCACTATCACTATCTTGGGCTGGCTGTGGTGGGTGGCGGATGAAGAACTCGGTAATGTTTTGTTGACTGGGCAACCTTGTGCGCACCCTGCCTGTGCCACTTCCCGCGTAAATGTTGGAATGAACCGCATAAATAAAAATTGTCGGTCTGGCAAGGTGCCGCGTAAATGACCAAACGCTTAAACCAAATCCGCATAAATCGAGACTATACTGTATAGATTGAGGTATGACAATATTATAAATACTATGCTAATACTGTATGTAGTTATTACTGTGTATTGGATAATTTATTATTAATCTCGGAAAGCCATTGGAAAGGTTGATGCAATATATGACAGCTGTGTAACTGATTTTATTTCATTCTAGTCGTCATACATCGGCCTATATATAGGGGTCCAAGAGGAACAAAGGCAGAGATGGGAGAATATATAAGTGTTATGCATATTACCCTTCATTCTATTACTCTATGACATTTACTGATATAGAGATAAGATGAGGTACTACATACACTGAAAGATAGAAATCCTGTTTAAAGCTAAGAGGGCAACTGAATATTGAGAGTACCGGTGAAGTTTTGCATGGAGGTATTAGATTGAGATGGTTTGGACATACGAAGAGAATGGATGGGACCAAATGGTCAAGAGATACATGAGTGTGAATGTGATGGGAAGGACAGCCATGGGTAGGCCAAGAATGACATGAAGAGAGGTGTGATAAAGGATTTTAGAGTTCAGATCTTGATGAAAGAAGTTGCAAGAAGCCATGCAGCATGGAGAGCTGCCATCAGGTAATCATGGCTCACACACGCAAGCATGGAAAATGGCCGTAAGACATTGATGATGAATGAAGAAATAATAAGAAAATAAGCAACTTCAAGTGAGAAAAAAAAAAAAATAATATATATATATATATATATATATATATATATATATATATATATATATATATATATATATATATATATATATATATATATATATATATATATATATATATATATATATATATATATATATATATATATATATATATATATATATATATATATATATATATATATATATATATATATATATATATATATATATAAACACACTGTACATAAATGCCTGTACTTACATACATATTGTTTATAGTCCATTATCATGCTTGTATGTCTTATTGGCAGACTGTAAATTATCAAAGGCAAGCAGAGATGAAGAAAGAAAAAGAAGAATTGATGTCCCAATTAGCTGTGTCTGATATGTCTGAGGAGTATTCAGTTATCTCAGAGCCTCTCCTAAGTGCCTGGTTTAATGATGATGGTCTTCAATACACTCCCCAGCCATCAGTTCTTGCACAAGCACTCTGTGACCATAAACTTTTTAGTCCTCTCAAGTACCATTTGATGAAATGTGTAAGAACAGAAGGGGTGAGTACTGTATCTTTCTTGTGGTGTGATTTACTTTATTGAGTTTAAAATTAACCACTTGAATTGATTATTTTTCATTGTTTTAGGAGTAGTGTGGTTATTTTTTCTCAGTGGTCATACTTTCCCTAGTCCTTAATTAACTACTGTATTTTGCTTCCAAAATAAAAAATTTTCTTTGACCTTGATGTTTTAAAAAAGAGCTCAAGAATAAATAATAACAACAATGAACAAATGTACACGCTGTGTGAGTCTTACAGTTTGTTAAACATTGAAGTCACAGCTGAAGGTCAAAATTCAATATACTGTACAGGGTATATTCATGCATAAAATGGGTATGATAGTGCATTTTTTCCCAGCTGAGAAGAGATGCCCCATCCCCTCCTCAAGAGTTACAGCTGATTGGTTGTTGCAAATCTGTCCAATTTCGTAATGATGTATTTCTAAATGAGTTTATTCATAAGTAATTGTTGGGATGACCGCTTCTGACGAGAAAGATATTTAGCTAAATTATTTAAAGATACATACATTCATTATTTCAAACATGAGCATGTAGGAAGTTTATCAGAAATCTTATACTGTACATGAATTTACTGTTAAACACCGGTAGCAAATTCTTGCTCTTGGAGGATGCATTTATTATACTGTATACTGTACTGTACTTATTTTTACCCACAATAAGTCATACTAAGACAAATTATGTATCAATAATATTACATTATGCAAACACTAACATTTTAAAAGATCAGAATCACATATTACACGGCCTCTGAAAGTTGGTTGATGAGTGTGACAGACTTGGCTGCTCGAGCGAACAGCCGTCAGTTGAGGCGGGAAATATGACTTCAGATGACTTCTAGCATACGACTTTTGGACTTTCCCAGAGAGCTCTCTGCTTTAACTCCAATGCTACAATATGCTGTCTACTCTCACATCAGCAGTAATGTAGTATTACTGATATGTAATTTGTCTTAGAATGCTTTATTGTGGGTAAAAGTATGTATATATTAAATGCGTCCTCCGAAAGCGTGAATTTGCTACCAGAGTTTAACACTTAATTCATGTTTAAGGTTTCTGATAAACTTCCTACGTGCTCATGTTTGAAATAATGAATGTATGTATCTTAATATAATTTAGCTAAATATCTTTCTCGTTAGAAACTGTCATCCCAATGAATATGAATAAACTCATTTAGAAATACATCATTACTTCAGGACGAAATCGGACAAATTTGCAACAATCAGTCAGCTGTAACTTTTGAGAAGGATCGGGGCATCTCTTCTCAGCTGGGAAAAAATGCATTTTATTACAGATATTTTTATAAGACTTGTCAAGGATAAGAGTCTATCACCAAACAAAAGGTTTATTGAATTTAAGTCTGTGCCAAATGTCAAGGTCACAAGAAAGTCAAAGGTCAAAAGTTTGCTAATTTGTCTGTATCCATGTATAGTCTGTGTGCATGTATTATGGTTTGATAAATGTCAAGAACACAGCCAAAAGTCTAAGGTGAAAACAATGTTAATGTAACTAGTCCTATTGTTTCAGTCAGATTGTCTTCAAATTTAGATGATATCTCAATCATTATGTACAAATGAACATATAACTTGGGTGTTAATAGTCCTTTTAAATGTCAAAGTCACAGTTGAAATTCAAAGTCCGGAACCTTGCCTGGAGAATAACTCTTTTACAGTATTGATACAAATATTTTAAGACTTCACAAAGATATGTGTCATGATCACTGAACAAAGTGCTGATAACCAAATTCAATTTTGTATTTTAAAGGTCAAGGTTAGAGGAAGGTCAAAGGTAAATCTTTGTCTGGATAAATCTTGTTTCAATCCAGATAAACTGTAGTATCAATTATGATGCGTTTCAAAGTTCAAGGTACTGTACTTCTGGTGGTTAAAATTCAAGATACGAGTATTGCTCAGATAATAACTCTTGTACTGTATCGGTGCAAATATTTGATGAAACTACATAAATACAGTATGTATCAACATACGTAAAGTGTAAAACATTGAATTTAGTGTAACACAGGTCAGAGTCACTGGACATTCAAAGGCCAAACTTCACTTTAAAAGATAAATATTTAGCCAGCAGAGGTACAGTAATATCTCCGTTGGCCAGAATCCCTCAAACCCGGAACTCTCTGATAGCCAGAATTGAAATTTTTTTGGAAAATCGTCCCCAAAGCCGTAATTTTCCCAGAAAATTCCGGCTTTGGGAATGATTTTCCGAGGGGCACATTTTCCAGAAAATTCCGATAAGATTTTCTCGGTACCTGGAAAATTCCAGGGATGGGGGAGTTTTTTCCGGGTTTGAGAGATGAAAATCGGGCGCATTTTCTGGAAATTCCGAGAAAATTTTTCCGTTGCCCGGAAAATTCCTGGGATGAGGGATACTTTTCCGGGTTCGAGAGGTGATGTAATGGGCAATTTCTGGAACTTCCGAGAACATTACTCTGTTACCCGGAATATTCCGGAAACTCCCGGAATGAGGGATTTTTTATGGCTTTGAGAGAGTTGTTACCAATTGTTCCGGCTAACGGGGATATCACTATTTTGATGAAAATTCACATAAATATTTATCATTACTCTGTACTTTACAATGTGCACAGAACCAGATTCAAAAGAATGTCATTGCTGAAGGTCAGTGTACAAAACCTTGTCTAAGGCATTGTTGTCGCATCACTTTAAATATTAAAAAAAAACAGTTTAATTTTTATCATCACTAGTCATGTTGCATGTGTTTTATCAAGAGTTAGACACCTTTCACAAATTAGCAATTCAGTGTTGACAGCTATGTCAGCAAACACATTTCTAGTTTTCTATTACTTACAGATATGAATTGTATCCTCAAATCAGTTTTACAATTTCTTTTAGGTAAAAGCCTTGCTAAGTCACCGGTCTGGGATTCACCAAGATGATGCTTTAAAAAAAATGGAATGGCCACTCTCCTTGCCACCAGATACTGGTTGCTGTAAACAGTGTGTTGTAAAAGCTGTAAATCACATTTTGTTTATAGAGAGAGTCAAGGCTCTACACAAGCAAGCCAAAAAGGATGCCCGCAGAGAACACGAAGGGTGAGTTTGTTTTTGTAATGCTCACTCTTATTTAGATGTTATGTGAAGGTTTGGTATAGCTCTTAGTTTCAAGTATCACTCTTTGAAATTGTGTTGTCAGTAAAGAGGAAATTAAGGATGCTTGGAGAAAATACTCTTATCATTTGCTGAATGAGATGTTTGACTGGGACAGGAGCAGTCTTGAAGCAGCAGAGCCAGTAATGGGATCATGCCCAGGATTAAAAGACAGTGGGTAATGAAAATGGAGATGCTTCTGGTAGATCTAGAAGAGTTGTAGAAATGTTGAAAACATCAGACCATGTTGGCATGACAAATAATGACCAAGTTGGCTAATGCAATTAAGATTTGAATGTATTGCTCCAGCTGAATGGCTGAATATTGTTATTGTGAATACAGTATTTCTAAGGGAAAAGATAATGCTCTAGAACATGGTAACTACAGGATCCTGAAGCTGTTAGATTAGTTTGTGAAAGTTGTGCAAAGAGTAATCCAGAAATTGATAAGGGAGGGTGTGGACATGTAATGAAATGCAGTTTGGGTTCATATCAGATGGGGACAACAGAGGCAATATTTATTGCCAGGCAGCTACAAGAGAAACATCTAGTGAAGGAGAGAAACTTTATTGTACTTTGTATTTGTAGACTTAGAGAAGGCATTTGACATGGTGCCTCATGAGGTAATACTGTATTGTGGACAAAGAGAAATTTATGTGTGAAGGAGTATTTTTTATGAATGCTTGAGAATCTCTGTGAGAGTGACTGTGTATGTGGTGATGGTGGTGTGAGTGACTAGTCCTCTTGTCTTCAAGTTAGTTTGAAGAGTAAGTTATATGAAAATTGTAGGAGAATGATGACATTTTGAAAGCTTATTTGTAGACTAAAAACAGTGCGAGTGTTAGAGTATAATGGAATAAATTACAATAGTGAAATACTTAAACATGCAGCTAGAAGAAATAAATGCATTTTTTTAGCATATTTTCATTATTACATAGGAAATAATTATAAGAGTGGCAAATATTTTGGTAACTTCATGGTTTTCCTTTGTAAATCAAAGCATGGGAATTTTTTAAAGTTTTTGCAAACCAAAGTTTCATTAATTGGGGATTACCTGTACAGTAACAGCTTCCACATACCCTTTCTCCTCCCAAACTCTCTAAGCACTCTTCTACCTGGACCAATGTTGTCCTTGGCACATGCGGCACAAGCACCAGAATGAACGCCTGGTGACTTCCTGTGACACAGGATAATGTGATGCATATGGCCTCGGGTACTAGTTGTGTACTTCGGTGTGTCAGTCACCCTTGCTTCTTGCTTCTTGTAACAATTTTACTTATTGACAAAATGTAACAGCATTTGTTTCATACTGGAGAACTCTTGCCTTTCTTTATATATCTCAGGCACCTTTTCAAGTTAAAAAGCTGTAATTTGACCAAATACTTAGGTAAAAAAAAAAATCATGGTTGTTGTTTTCTTGCTTGTTTGGGTAATATCTCAGGCATATTTTGAGCAGCTGAAGACCTCTGTAAAGCCTTAACTGCAGGGAGGGGATATGTCAAGACTCATGAGGCTCCCAACTGACATATTAACACAATTTTTCGGGCGTGTGGGTGAGAGAAAAAATAGCCTAGGAAGCTGAAATTTGGACACAATAGTAACCATTTTTTATCCCACTCATAATATATACCTTGCTACTTGATCAAGAGTTTATTATCTTATGTGTATTTCTTTACCATTTCTTCCTTTTTCCTATATGACATATGCTGTAGCTGTTAATGATTTCATAAATGAAGTACTTTAATGAAGTGATGGTGTGTGTAATATCTAAATTAGTATTTTGTAAACACAATGTCGTAATTTAGCAATATTAATCTTACTTTCAGACCAGCTCGAGTGGTTGGACTAGAAACTCTGGAGTACTGGCCAAGATTAGCATTAAGTGCCTACGTAAAAGAAAATGGAATTGACATAGAAGAAGAAGAAACAGAAAATGGAGTGGAGATGATCAAGAAAGCTGAGGATGGTAGTAAGAATGAGAGTCAACATATTGATAATGACACTAAAGTTAATAGTGCTCATGTCAATGGTGATGAATGTGAGCAAACTGATGGTAAATCAGAAATGGAGATGGTAACCCCTCGCTGTGATACCACAAGTTTAGTGCCTGAAACTGATAGTAAACTCACCTGTGATAGTCGGACAGCAGATATAAATATGGATGTGAAAGATAAAGACAGAAAACATTTAGTTAGTTCAGAAAAAGATGCATCCAGTAGTAGAGGAACTGAAACCAAAGAAGGAAACTGTGATTTTATGTTGTTCAATGAAGACATAGTTTGCCAACACAACCTTCTGTCTCCTACCGCTTCTTCTTGTAGAATTCCTCAAGATTTGATAACACAAATAATGAACCTTTGTGGAGAATCCATACACCCAGCAATATATCAGGAAGATTTTAACACCTGTCCAGATTGTGGGGTAAGTTTAGTATAATCCGTATTTGACTTTGTCTTATGTTTTGTTCTTGTTGTTATACTCCCAAACATTGGCAGAACATAAGAAATAACTTAAGAGTTAGGAACCTGTCCAGCATAACTGCAAGAGACCATGCAGCATGGAGAGTTGCTATCAAGTAACTGCGGTTAACCCATGCAAGCATGAAGAATGGCAACAGCATCTATTTCACTTTCCTTTCTCCTTTTGCTCATAGTAATATAGGGCATACCGGTAACTAACAAAATATTCGCTCACAATACAATACACTGTATAGCTACCCCGAATACTGTAGTACCCTGAAACACAACCATCTGTGACTATAATTCTGGTGAAACTAACAACAAAACAAAGCAAAGAGCATCAGCGAGTGTGTGACGATGGACAGCTCCAGCATAGGTCCAATGTGCTTACTTGTTTGTTTTGCTTGCTTATGGCTGTCAATTATAGTTGACGACGACACTGCTTCATTATGAATCGATGGTGATGAGTGGTGAAGTAGGGATGTTGTCGGCAGTGCCACTATATGTGACTATGGAGTCCCATCCTTGACCCATAGATGCTGCTCTACTTCCCACTTCTCAAAATTATCTCTGACACTAATCTGCCCAATATAAAAGCAAGCCCACTCATACCTGAGTTTACATATGTTGTCACGCAGCTGCCATTTTAAATTATACACTCACCAAGTCTCACATAATCTGCCAGTCACAAGCCCAACCCCCATCTCATTAAGCAATAACTTGGATAACTTTTCCATAGATTTATATAGAAATATGTTAATAATAAATTGTGCTGGAAGGAACATTAGTGTTCTTTTGTCTCCTAGCAGTGTCATGCAATCAAGTTTTTGTTCTTAATTTTTTTGTTTTAAGAGGCAGTGAGGAGTGACCCCAGTGTCCTAATTGTCTCCCTGGAATGTCCAACAAGTTGACTGGAGTGTGGGGGTTGTTGTTATGAACATGGTTTATGTTATTGTCAAATAAGGTGTAGTATGTGTCATGGAAACTGAGCTTTATGGCATCATTATGCATCATGTGAACCATACCATGTCATCTAATCTATTTTGAGTTATGGTTGTCAGGAGGAGTGAATAACCTTCAGAGAACAATACGGTAGTTACCTCCAGTTGCCATGAATTAGGGTTTACTGGAGCAACCCTGTAAGACATACTAAACTTTGGATGAGTTACTAATCACTGGCCTGGTTAAATAAAGGGTGTTTAAGATCAAACCCTCCATTTTGGATGAACAGAAATTGTACAATATTACTTACAAGAGATATATGAGAGTTATATAGGTACTGGATTTTATGTTTTTTGACATGGAATGGAAATTGTTGATGGGAATTGTATATATGAAAAGGGTTTTATTTAGTGTCAGAAATGCTTGAATTTCACTTAAAAGTAATATTTTTTGCATCTATCTCACAGAATATTTTAGAAGAGTCCATGCGTGCATGTAGCAGTGGGCGGCAGCAAAAGAAGCAATTAGGTAATCTTTTCCTTGAGAAAAAAAGACCTCATCCAACTCGTGACCCAGGCAAAAAGATCTATCTTGTATCAAGAAATTTCTTTGCTGAGTGGAAGAGCTACATCAGGTAAGTGAATATTGATATACTGTTCAATATTATATTGTACTACAGTACAATAAAAGAAAAATACTTGTAGGTGTTGCAGGCATTGACCAAATGTCATTGGGTTGGTAGCCTTTGAGTACAGAGGCCCCCCAAGTTCGCGGATTTTTATTTTGCAGTCCTCTATTATTTGCGGATGACACCCTGGATGTACCCAAGAATGTCTGTGGGTAGTTTTAAAGTTGCCGGTATTTTTGCGGTGGGGACAGGGAGTCATTCGTTCTAGAGACAGTAATTTCCTTTACCTCTATTGTATTGCAAATATGTGTGTGTGTGTGTAGACACACACACACACACACATACACACACACAAAACACATACAAATAAATAATAATTGGAAAATCCTCTCACAAATAATCAGAAACAAATTTATTAAAAATGTGACAGTCTACCCTCAAGTCCATGTTTTATTACTTTATAGGTATTAATAAAGCATGGACTTGAGGGTAGACTCACATTTTTAATAAATTTGTTTCTGATTATTTGTGAGAGGATTTTCCAATTATTAATTATTTGTATGTGTTTGTGTCTACACACACACACACACATATACAATACGTACAGGTAAAAGAAATAATTGTAAGCTGATAAGTGGCGAATATGATAAAAAAAAAATACCTGTATACGAGTACATTTCTTTGTACACAAGTAAAAAATGTAAACCCCCCTCCCCCCGGGTCAGCAAATGTTATTCGTGGATTTGGCAATTCGCGGCCATTTTGAGAGCCTAACCCCTGCGAATTGTGGGGGCTCCCTGTACAATCTTTTGTTTAACATGTAGCATTTTTATCTTTTACCCCCACTTGTTATACTGGAATTGGCAAGTGATTGGTTTTATTGAAATTTTGTTTTATATTTTTCATACTTTTCTTTAACAAATAAATAGTGCAGGGGAGAGTAGACAAGTGTCATTGTCAAACCTATTTACAAGAGCATCCCCTTACCAAAGACTGAATATATTAAAGCTGCATGATTTGAACTGATTGAGATTATATAACACTGGAAAAATACTGTATGGCAGAGTATAAAGGATTTTTCGAAGGTACAGATTTTGCAGAATGGAATTTAAACAGAAAAGTCATGAGTCCTCCCAGATGCTCTTGCGGGGTGATTGAGTATACATGGCAGAGGCATTGATGGGTATTGTTCATCAGAATGCTGACTGGAAATATCTGTAGAATAGCAAAAGCGAGATAGCCCTATGGCTGTATGAGTGTGCAATACTGGAAGCTTTCTGGTAAGAACATTATTATTGATTGTTTTGATGTTTTTTTTTTCTGCATCAAATTAAGGAGGTAAAGTGCCTCAACAACATACCCAGCACACAGATGACAGCACTTGAGAGCACTAGTTACTGTTATAAATGGTTGTCAACGGGTTATCAATCTAGTATAGTCTGGCTCTGAACACGAAGTCCAAACTCCATTAAAACAGTTTTGGCAAAATTTTGATAAAATTTGTCATGGTTAGATTTGAAGTAAGGGTGATGCTTACAAATACCCATACCCCTCCCACACACACACACACAAATACCCATACCCCTCCCACACACACACACACAAATACCCATACCCCTCCACACACACACACACAAATGCCATACCCCTCCACACACACACAGAAATACCCATACCCCTCCCACACACACACACACAAATACATACCCTCCCATACACACACACAAATACCCCTATACCCCTCCCACACACAAATACCCCATACCCCTCCCACACACACACACAAATACCCATACCCCTCCCACACACACAAAATACCCATACCCCTCCCACACACACACAAATACCCATACCCCTCCCACACACACACACAAATACCCATACCCCACTCCCACACACACACACAAATACCCACACCCTCCCACACACACACACAAATACCCATACCCCTCCACACACAAATACCCATACCCTCCCACACACACACACACAAATACCCATACCCCTCCCACACACACACAAATACCCTGCCCTCCCACACACACACACACAAATACCCATACCCCTCCCACACACACACAAATGCCATACCCCTCCACACACACAAATACCCCTCCCACACACACACACACACACCATACCCTCCCACACACACACACAAATACCCATACCCTCCCACACACAAATACCCATACCCCTCCCACACACACACAAATGCCCATACCCCTCCCACACTGATACCCATACCCTCCCATACACACCAAATACCCATACCCCTCCCATACACACACACAAATACCCATACCCCTCCCACACACACACACAAATACCCCATACCCCTCCCACACACACAAATACCCATACCCCTCCCACACACACACACAAATACCCATACCCCTCCCACACACAAATACCCATACCCCTCCCACACACACAAACAAATACCCATACCCCTCCCACACACAAATACCCATATCCCTCCCACACACACGAATAACCCCTTCCTCCCATATACTTTACACAGTACACAAGTGTTGGCGTTCGTGATGAAGAGAGTTGTTTTTGTGTCAGTAGCATGATTTAGTGGGAATTGCTTTTAGGACGGGACAGTTTACCCTGTAATTGGTAATGGTTTATGCAAATATGAGAAGTTCATCGTCAAGTACGTTACTCCCTCACCCCTCCCTCTCCCCCCTCCTCCCAATTACAGTAGAAATAGACGCGCAGCCGTAATGATAAGTGCCAACAGGTGGTCTTTATGGCCTGTTTAGCCGCGTCTGAAGGGTAGGGAAGGGAGGGGAGGGGAAGCGGTTAGTGAGGGATCAATTAGTTACGAAAATGTGTTTATTCATATTTTATATTACTTTTAGGGGGATTTTTCCATAATTCGGTCTGTATTTATTTATTTATTTTTAAATGGGTCTAGTAAATGTGAGAGAGAGTCATCGCTGAACTTAATAACACAAGGACATTGGGTTCATTTGTGTAGCCACCCCACAGCCTAGTATCCACACCCATCATCACCTTGTATCCACACCCATCACCTTGTATCCACACCCATCACCACCCACCACCTTGTATCCACACCACCACCTTGTATCCACACCCACCACCTTGTATCCACACCCATCACCTTGTATCCACACCACCTCGTATCCACACCCATCACCTTGTATCCACACCCATCTCGTATCCACACCCACCACCTTGTATCCACACCCAATAGCTTGTATCCACTCCCACTAGCTTGTATCCACACCCACCGCCTTGTATCCACACCCACCACTTAGTATGCACACCCACCACCACGTAGCCACACCCTTCACCACATAGCCACACCCACTACCTCAGCCACCCAACACCACCTATCCACAACCATCACCTAGCCTGATCCCACCACCTCGTAGCCACACCCGCCAACTCGTAGCCACACCCGTCAACTCGTAGCCACACCCGTCAACTTGAAGCCACACAGTCCATCTCGTAGCCACACCCCACACCGTGTAGTCACACCCACTACCTCATAGCCACACCCACCACCACGTAACCACACCCACTACCTCATAGCTAACCACCATTTAGCCACTCCCACCTTCATTTAACCACGCCCCCCACCATTTAGCCACGCCCACCATCATTTAGCCACGCCCACCACCAGGTACCCATCACGCCCCCGGAGGCTAGAAGTGACGCCATCATCTATATTGTAGCTGATGATTATGGCTCGATCTCTTTCCTCACATTACGTTTAGTGTTTTTACTTCCTGCGCCTGGTGTATAGACTCCCTGGGTCCTCCTTAGTGATGCTTCTTCCAATTGGTGGACATTAAAGATTCCTGTGAGTGTTTTTTTGGCCCGTTATCTGAGACTTTTGTGACCACCGCTTTTTTTTGTATGGTTTGTTGTCCACACCTTCACACCGAAACACTTATTTTATACAAGGGGCAACACAGATCGAATTAACATGGGTGGCTGAATAATTGGTATGACCGTGACTAAAAGATAATTCACTCCTGGTTGGCTGACTGAGTTTGCTGTGATGCCACTTCTCAGAGAAATTAAATTTCCACGTAGCCTATCCCATTTCTCCCACAAAATCTGAATAAGTTCCCACAAAAAAAAAATCCATAAAGTTTTTCATGTTTGACAATGAGAATATTTGTGATTTTTTTGTAGATACTCAACATATAGAGGAATCTCATAGCGGCTAAATATTCCACAAACACCAACAAACAAGCCTAAATCATTCACCATTGTTGGGATACCAGTCGAAACGGTATGCCAGTATTTGCGGAATAATTACCCAGGGAGTGAGTACAGTCTAGATTAAGATTGCTTTGGATCTTTTATTTTTTTATATTATCCCGAATTTTCCCTCTCCTTCGAAGTCCTGCAGTGTAAGACGGTTCATAAGTCAATAATTTTGCATTTTCCAAACTTTAATTCTCACTATTATATTCAGCATGAAAAACTGCTTTAGAAAAAGTAGGTTTATTTTTTTTATGGTGCGTGTTACTCTTTTCGTATCTCCTTTGTTACTTGTTTTCTCTTCCCTTCCTCTTTACCCCCCCTCCTTCCTTCCCTATTTAGCTATCCCTTCCTCCTTTCTTCCTCCCCCCTCCCCCCTCTCCCTCTCCATACTTTTTTGTGTCCAGGCGTGGGAACCAAGCTTGTGTGTTTGCAATACCTAATGGTGTGACTGATGATATTGTTGACGTGTTGTAGGAGTAGTGAGGTCCCAGGGGAGCTCAGTACAGTAAGGTTGAACAGATAAGTGAGTGAGTGGTCAGTCACCTATCGCGCTACTGTTGTCATCCCAGCCAGCCAGCCCATGTCGTTTTTACCTACTCCAAACCTTTCACAAATTCTATCAGTTTCTTTAATTTTTTTCTTCTTTTTCTTCGTCAGTCTTATCGCATTTTTTTGTGAAGGGTGGTTAAATAGGATAAGATATCTGAAAATAAAAAAAATCTAAATAAAAAAGGAGGTGGTATTAGGGTGATTGGTGTAACTACTGTATAGGAAAGGGTTTGAACAATTTATAGAGTGATCCATGTTCATATCCTGTTTCTTCTCTCCCGGGTGTTAAAGTTGGGTTATGAAAGGTCATTATTTCCTTGTGATTAAGTGATAATTTTTATTGTTTTTCTTTTGAAATGCAAATATGACGTTTGTTTATTTCGCCAATGACTGTGGCTGGTTAGGTGGGGGTGTGTGGGGGGTGTGTGTGTGGGGGGTATATATCAGCAGCCTCTTGATTCATGTGTGAGGTGATTCAGTGAAGATGATGATGACGATGATAGAAGTGATGATGGTGAGGATGATGATGTTAGGAGTGATGATGATGGTGATATGAGTGTTGATGGTGAGAATGATGATGTTAGGAGTGATGGTGAGGATGATGGTGAGGATGATGATGTTAGGAATGATGATGATGATGGTGATAGGAGTGTTAATGTTCCCACGACTTCCGTTCTGTCCTCCTCTGCCCCCCCCCCACCTCCTGGCCGTGGTGCTGGGTGTGCGTGGTGGGCATTAAGGTAAAGTGTCCTCTGGTGGGGAGTAACTCATGTTGCCCTCACCACCCCAGGGACGCGTTAGTTTTGTTTTGTCTCTCTCACCTATGATTGATAATATAAATAAATAAATATATTACTATGTATTGTCCTGAGAAAGGCAAACACTGATAAGTTTCTGTGTTATATTGGATCGTTTTATTTATTTTTTTATTATTTTAAGAATGTCGGGTGAACCTGTTAATGTAGCGATACTGAAATAACCTGTCACACCCACACACACACCCACACACACACACACCTACACACACACACACACCCACACACACACACCTACACACACACACACACACACATAAGCTGATTTCATAAGGTCCGATTTTATTTCATTTTTCGTTTTGGAACCTTAGAAATATTTTACTTACAGTTGAGAACAGTTACAGTAACAGTGCAAGTTAGGGGTTATAACTCAAGACACACACGTTAGGTTTATTGCAACAGAGAGAGAGAGAGAGAGTCACACACCTGGTGGTCATGTAAATTACGGTATCACATGTTTGTTTGCTTGCATGTATCAGTACGTTTGGGGTTATGAGGTACATTTACGTCTTACTTGAGCTACTCTACTCCCCTGGGTTGTTTGTCATTGTGAGGAACTTATTTTTTCGTTAATCATAGCGCCATGGTCGGTTATATATCGCCTTCTGACTAGCACCATCCTACCTCCTCACCATCACCACACTAGCACCATCACCACACCATCACTACACCACACCTTCACCACAATAGCACCATCACCCGCACCATCTACCACACTAGCACCATCACCATCACGCTACACCACACCAGCACCATCCTGCACTAACACCACCACCATCACCACACTAGCACCATACACATCACACCACACTAGCACCATCACCACACCATCACCACACCTAACACCACCACCATCACCACACTAGCACCATCATCACACCACTGCGCATCACCATCACTACACCACACCAGCACCATCACCACACTAGCACCATCACCACTACACCCACCAGCACCACCATCCCCACCACACTAGCACCAGCACCACACCATCACCACACTAGCTTTATCACCATCACTACACCATCACCACACCATCACCACACTAACACCACCACCATCTCCACACTAACACCATCACTACATCACACCACACTAGCACCATCACCACACCATCACCACACTAACACCACCACCATCTCCACACTAACACCATCACTACATCACACCACACTAGCACCATCACCACACTAACACCACCACCATCACCACACCACACCATCTTGATTTCATAGTTTATCTACTCACCTGAAGATTAGTCCCCCTAGTTTATTTGTCACCTGATGATTTAAATACCCTTTTACCCTAATCCTAACCTAACCCCTATGTAGCGTTAGGGTATTAAGTCATCAGGTAAAAATATATAAATATGTTGGGGGCTAATCTACAAGTGGTCCGATATTACAAACGATACCTCATTTATCATTCATAATCATTAGTCATGTAAATACACTACAATCACCAGCATTATTCACTGTATTTTTCATTCACTGTCAATCACAACCTACTCCCATCTTGTAAATAATGTTCACTAGTAATTCACTCTTCGTCTCCTATCATAATCTTGTGTTACTGTATGTTGTGTATGCATTTATAGGTGTAAATATTATGGAAGATCGTACAGTACCTCCATGATAAGTGAGATTGAGAGTAGCTGTCTTGAATTTATTTTCGTTGTGCAAAATTTCTGATTTATTTTGTTCTTGCGAAAATTTGAAGAAAAAATCATATCCAAAGCCATTTTTTTTATTTTCGGAGTTGTTTTTTATTTGCTCTTCTTTTGTTTTCATGTTCTTTCTTCGCTCTGTCTTTCATTGATATTAAATATTGTAATGGTGGTATTAATTTTTAATGTCAGGGATATTAATGGTATTATTAAAGATATTATTAACAAATAATAAGAATGGGAATAATGAAATCAATAGTAATATTCTGATTATACGATATTTCATAAATGTTTGTAAACGAAATGTAGATATCGCATAGATCATCATCATCATCATCATCATCATCATCATCATCATCATCATCATCATCATCATCATCTTCTTAATGTTAATGGTATGAATGATGTGCAGTTTATGTTGATATTTTTTTTTAATTGATAAGTTTAATTAATCTTTCGGTGTTAAATGTCGATACGTGTGATTAGATGTTGATAATTTGAGAGGTTGTGTCTTTGTAATGTTTATATCTCAGCGAGTTTATTCTGTATTATGTTTATGTCAGCAGCGTTGGTGTGGAGAGCAAGTGATGGAGGTGTGGCCGGGACAGTGTGTGTGTGTGTGTGTGGTGGACAAGATTTATGTCCGGTGTACAGTTTGTCCCCGGCACGCGACCTTCTTGTTTGTCCTCTGTTTTCCCACGCTCCACACTCCTCCTCCTCCAACACTCTTTGTCTTTCATTCAGTTCTTTCACTTCTTTCTATTTCTGGTACTGTACTTGTTTTTCCTACTTACCGTGCGTAGTAAGCCGACCAGCCCCGACTTGAAGGGTTTAGAAGATGGGGGATGGAAGGGAATCGTCTTCACTTTCCACATCCCTTAAATTCCGTCCTTCCAATTTACATTTTGTAGCGTACAGTATTACCAACACTACTCAATGTGGGTTTATGCTGTTACTCTGTACTAAAATGACACCTGGCCCTATCACGTAAGAGTGTAGGGTCTTTCTTACGTAAAATGTAGTACCTGTACTTTTTGCGTGGTATTGCTGATTTGTGTGGGTGTGTTTCAATGAGCATCATGGAGGGTATCGACAAGCTACGGTAGAATGGGGATGACAGATTATGTACTCTTATATGTGACATCTCGATAGCAATCCATGTTAAAGAATTACGTTTAGTATTTATATTTTCCCCATCCGACATGTGCTTATCGAGTAGTAATAGACTGTTAAATTTACGTAATAATAATAATAATATCTATGGGTGGTTAGTAAGTATGTGTTTTTGTTTTCATTTGTTATTTAGGTCGTGTGAGCGTGGGGAGCTGGTTGTGTCGGCGCCTATCCAGCTGGTGAACGCCCCACTACTGTGTACCCACAACCTCCTCTTGTTTCCCATCTTCAACCTCCAGCCACATCAGCTGACCGAGTGAGTACCAACCAGCCTGTTCACTCGTTATTATTTTATTTTAGTTCTTTTAAGATTGAGTAAGACGGAAACGGTATTAATTGGTTTTCGTAGTGTCTATATTATTATTATTATTATTATTATTATTATTATTATTATAGTTGTAGTAATAGTAGTAACAGCCGTAGTAGTCGTAGTAGTAGTTGTAGTAGTATTGAATGAAGAACAATGTTTTAAAAGTTCGTCAATGAATTGTCTTAATATCTGCAGGGATGAAGGTAATTGGTGTCCAAAATATGTCTCTGCAAGGATGAGTGAGTTGAGTTTTCCCCCCTATGTTCTTTATGTTGTATAAACACTTCTAAGATCTTTATCACAGTTGTCTTGTGTGAAAGTCTTCGGTATCTGAAAAATTTACAAGTGAAGCTTTGTTAATATCTTTTTTTTTATGGAGGAAGTTTAAAAGAAGTTCAGAGTTAATGTGTTATTTACTATAGACTGGAGGACCGTAGTTGTCAACCCTCAGACATGACGGTGGCACTTTGAGTGATTGATTGAGTGAGTGAGTCTTTTATCCTCAGATGTTCAAACAAAAATTTTGTCTTATTAATTTGAGTAGTGTAGTTGCCGTTTTATGTAGCAATATTTACAAAGTATGTATTGTCCCTATCATAGAGAAGGAAATTGACCATGACGCTTTCAACTACGGGGTAATAGACTATGTCAGTGTTCGCTCTGTGGGTGTTGATACAGTAACATTGTGAGGGAGGATGATAAACAGTGGGGTGAATAACTGACCGACATGCAAAGGACGAGCACTGACACACTCCAGAGACCACCTGACCCCTCCCTCCACGCCCTTAACCCGCCCCCACCTATTATATGACACGTGTCCCTTCTGCGTAATGGGATTCAGTCTGCATGTATAACTGTAGTCAAGCTTAAGCTGAGTTAAGAGGTGCCTGGTTCCCACGCTCTTGCAGACCAGTTGGGTGCTGGACGGGAGTGTGTGATGTGGGGCGGGGAGTGCGCTTATGTATTCTTTAGTACGGTAAAGAATTTCACTCTGGTAAATATGTCTGGTGGTCGAATTTCCAGTGACTATTCTCTCAGCAAACTAGTCACAGGTAATAACGAAATATCACCACAAATAGTAATTAGTTTAGGTAGTCTTGTTTCACCAGGTAATAACGAAATATCACCACAAATAGTAATTAGTTTAGCTAGTCTTGTTTCACCAGGTAATAACGAAATATCACCACAAATAGTAATTAGTTTAGCTAGTCTTGTTTCACCAGGTAATAACGAAATATCACCACAAATAGTAATTAGTTTAGCTAGTCTTGTTTCACCAGGTATTAACGAAATATCACCACAAATAGTAATTAGTTTAGCTAGTCTTGTTTCACCTGATGCTGTGGCACAAGTTTTTAAATACGGAGTAGTTTGTGCGTTTTTTAAGACAACAGCAGCAGTTAGATTACATAGCTAGTATATACTGTTTTTATACATGACATAGACTTGTGTTAATGGGTGAGTGGGAGGGTAGGGATTCAGATTGGAAGTATTATAGGGGGGGGGGTCAATTCAAGAAATAGGTTTGATAGATAAACATTATAAATCCCCCCACTATCCAAAATTATCCTTGATGTAATCCACACTAACACTGGGACGAAGATGGATGAACCTCTTGGCATTCATTCTTTATTAACCATCGTTGCGGTTATGCCATCATCACAACATATATATCTATTAATACAAAAATAAATTAAGACAACAAATTCAAATGACGTTATCGAAATCATGACGGAAGAGAAGTTGTTTAGTCTTATGATTGATCGTTTTCATAACTTCATTTAACTTCACTGTGTAAAGTTGAAAAAGAAGACCAGTAACTTTAATGAGGCAACATATGAGTCACTGGTCAGCACATCTCCCTCATCACATCTCTCTCAGCACATCTCCTCCCTTAGCATATCTCCTCCCTCAGCACATCTCCTCCCTCATTCAAGTAGCCTATATAAAGCACTTTTGTTATGAGTTGTGTGTTCTTAGAAACTATGATCAATAGTGAACACCGTTTATTAAGCACAGGACTCAGACCAACACAAACCATACCCAGTGAATAGTATCGATAAGGTGAGCTTATTTTTTAAATGTGTGATGAAAAACTAAAACAATGAGGGAAACTTGATTACCCAACACACCTACAGTCACCCATCACTAAAAACTGTTACATCCTTAGCTACATAATGTCCTTGCGTGCGGTACATTGTTGATTTTGTTAATGTTTTGTAGAGAGTGATAGTTCGTGCGTGTGTGTGAACGTGTTTGCGCGTGCTCGTCTGCATGTACAGTATGTGTACAATAAGTAAGAGAGCGTGTGAGTGTTGTTTTGTTGGTTGTTTGACGTGTAATTATGAGATCAGGACGACACGTGACCCGACCACGTCACTCACCACAACATATATTTAATAAGTTTTTATTAATTGAGCGTTGAAAGTTTAATTGGGTGTAGATGGTGATAACTCCGTCAAGTGTGAAAGAAATATCACTTTTATAACAGAGTAAACATGAGAGGCAGTAAGTGTGGGTCCTGTAAGTAACTAGTTGTGGGTGTCTTTGTGTCTGTCTCGTAAATTTGAAGTTGCTGAACGTTCCCACCACTTGAGATCACCATCGTGTGACTCAAATTTATAAGTAATATCTGTGCCTTGTCTTTTATTCAGCGAAATCTCATTGATTCATATTTACAAGTTGATTTAGTGAGGCTTTATTACAGTATCGATTATGGTGTTGGGCTGCTCGCTTACCCACCCGTGTGAGTGTTGATCGGTTGGTGCGTCATCCTCTCATTAATACACAGGAGAGGGATTCACTACCTGTCCATCTCACTCTTTTTTTCTCTGATTATTTTATTATCATGGGCATCTTACGTATTACCTTTAATTACAGCAACAGCCTCGCTCCCCCCCTCCCCTTAGAGCAGGTGTCAGTAGCCTCTGTATAAGTGCACATCGTAGAGAAAGTTCATGGATTAATAATAATTTTTATCTTAATATATTACCCGTTCAATTTTATATAGTTAATTGTGTCATTTCCCTCCCGCAATCAAGATCATGTGTTGGGACAGTCATGCTTGGATCTGTTAATTCTCTTGGTATTTTTGTTTTGATTTTTTTCGTCTAGTTCTTGTTGTTATCGGTTAGGTTAGGTTATATTAGGCTAGGTTATGGGGGGGGTTAGGTTATGTTATGGGCTGGATACATTGCTTAAAATCAAACAGTTCTTTTAACATAATGCTCGCTTTGTAGTTATGAAATGTAGCTAAATTAGTTCTAGTATTATGATTTAGATTACAGCTACGTTCATTTATTTAGAAGATTCAGTTAGTTATTATACTCGCCCGCCAAGATCAAAGATACAGCTCTTGGTGGTATGTGAGTATTTCTCTTAATGGATCATATCAGGTATAGTAATGATAGATAAGAGTGCACCTACAGTACGTCTCGCTAGCGGAACTGTATCAGAGTCAGTTGTTATCACCAGGTATTTCTCTTCCTGGCTAGCAGCTTCCTGAGAACAACCTCTGTCCATTTTCTCCCTTCCGTCTTGTTGTTGTGTGTTTTTTGGTGTGTGTGTGTGTGTGTGTGTGTGTGTGTGTGTGTGTGTGTGTGTGTGTGTCCTGCCGTTATCCCTGCGTTTTCTTTGTTTCTCACCCTCCCGGGGCGCCCTCTACCGGAACGACTCTACAGTAAAAAGTAAATTGCAAAGTCGGTAAGCGAGACGAGAGGAGCAACCCCGTGGCCCTAAGACTCTTCATGGGGAGGCAGGGGAAAGGGGAGATAAGGAAGGGGAGGGAAGGGAGGTGGGGAGATAATGATGTGTGAAAGAGGAGGAAGAGGTGGAGGGAGGGGGGCAGGGTTTAGAGAGTGGATGTAGGGGAAGGGGAAGTAAGGAAGAAGTCAGATGAGGAGGTAGGTTGGGGGATAAGAGGAGAGGGGAAAGGAAGGGAAATGGGTAAGGGGTGTTAGGGGTGAGGAGATAAAGGGGGAGAGGGGAGAGAAGGAAGGCAGGGAGTGATGAAAAGTTAAGACAGTGGGAGGCAAGGGGAAGGAAAAGGGGGAGGTGAGAGGTAAGGGGGGTAGTAGGAGGCATGGGGAGGGAAAGAGGAAGGCAGGTAAGGAAAACGACTCCTTAAATGAAATCGAACAAACTTTAACATGTATGAACTAGTTTTTATAAAATTGTAGTTATAAAAATTTTTGTGGATGTGGTAAAAAAATCAGTTGTGTTCGAATGTTCAATTCTACGATCATCCTTAAAAAGATAGTACACACACACACACACCTTAGACTGTAGTTATAGGGCTGTTTGTATGAAATAATTATCATCAGACACGTGGCTCTACCGTACTGTAAACAGTGGCGACCTTGAAGCACGTGACTAAACCTTTTTACCATCGATGGTAATCACCACACACGTGTCCGTAGTCCATTATACAGTAGACCAACAACACGTCCTTACAATATGTAGCAGGGGACGCTTATTAACTTACAATCAGGGTGTGCGTATGTAAAGGCTGCTTATTAACTTATAGTGATATACAGTGTGTGTGCGTGTTCCCGTGTTTGGATGCCTGTGGGCGTCATTAAAGCTCGGGACCATCATAAACCTTTATCGCACTTATTACTCCTGCTACCAATCCCTCTCCTACTCAGTAAAGCACCATTGCTCCTTGCCCAAATTTCCTTCCCTAAGGCCGTCTCGGTTGGGAGGGCCAAATCAATGGGTTCCTGCAACCCTTTACATTCCAAAAACGACCAATCCGATTACGCGGGTCCCCTGGGAGTGTGGGCTTAGGCGCGTGGGCGTGGAAACGTTTCCTGTCCTTTGGAGAACGCTTCTTTTCACCAGCCATCGTCTGGGAGATCTCACACACCTGCGCCTTCATCAGCTGTGTGCTGGATGTGTTGTAGTAGGACCATTCTTACCCAGAACCCCGAGTCCCAACCTCTGCC